AAATAAGACATTCTCTTCTTTACAACTAGAAAGAGAACTGCCACATTCTGGACAGTGGCCGAGTTTTAAAATGTTTACATCCCCACATTCTCCTGCCCAGAAAGGCTTAGTAAAGATTCTGGTTGGAATTAAATTTACAATATGGTGACTGGACATTACATTTTCACTGAGATGCAGTCTAATCCCCTATGAGTATTGGATTTCATCTATGTAAATATCTAGTTTGCAGATGTCTGTCCCTACTCCAACAAATTGCAAAAGCCTGTCGATATTTGGCCTCCCAAGAGCTGTTTACAAACTATATTTAGTATTATTTTCAAGCTTTGCAATCAAAATTGTGAGCCTCAGAAATCAGCTGCTCGGGCATTTCATAACACATAGCCTTGGACTGATAAACCTGACTCTTGTTTGTATGCATAAATCCCCATTGTACTATCACTACTGAAGGGCAGATACCAGGACCACTGTCTCATATGCCCTGTCACTGTCTCCTTTATGTCTCATTCATAGCAGAGCAACGACTCAAAGATTCTCCATAATCCATAAAGTGCTAGAGTTTGGAAGGAGTTGGGGAGGCCATCTGTTCTAACATTTTCATCTACAGACTGAGGCTGAAAAACCCCAGAAAGTCAACAGATTTGCCCAAGGCAACTCAATAGCAAAACAGGAACTTGAATCTAGGACTCCTAATATCCAGATTCTCATGGGATGAATTAGTAAGACACATTGAAAAGCTCATAGAAGACCAGAAGGCTTGAAAGGTTGCCCTTGAGAAGGTAAAAAGGGTGTGGAGTCATTTTAATCCCCAAGCTCCCGGTAGGTGCCCTAGTGTGGAAGGACAGGCACTAGGTTACAAGACTGAGTACAACATATAAAAGCAGAAGTGATGACATTTGGGATATTAGAAGAATATAGAAATGAAGTGGGAGTGTTCTCCTACCCCAACCCACCTCCAAGAACTTTTCTCACTCCTCTAGACCACGTCTTGAAAGTATGAGTGCTTTTGGGACATCTGCACATATTGGTGTGGATTTGAGTAAGTGAGAGGAGTAGAATAGGAATTTGTAAATAATAAAGCACCAGACTAAACAGGACAGAGATTGCTATCCATCACTTACTTGGATTCAAGAAAGACGGGTTTCATTTCTAAAGTCAGAATTTGAAGTCAGACCAAAATTAAACTCCATAAAATACTACTGAATTCAATCTTGGCTGTTAAATGCAGACTGGCTACTCTTATCCCTTCCATCAGGAAAGAACCAACTTGCTATAAATGGCGTTTCCTCACTATTTCCTCATCCTGAGTACATAGGAAGTACATCTCTTACTGGGTCAAATCCCACATAGTTAATATTTCAAAGGCCGACAAAACAGCAGAAGGCTGTTTTGTGTGTAATCTCATGCAGTAGAGCGATTTCAGGTATCTGGCTCTTGAAGTTCACAAAGTTAAATATCAATTTCTATGTTATTTGCTTAATTAATATAAAATCTTGCTAAATTTTTCCAAAGAAACATTTTCTATTCATTCCATTGCTCCATTAAATGTTTATTCAATCTGCTCTAAGCGCATAAATGACCACCCAAATCTTTAATTCTGGATACCAAAAATAGACTGCTATTGTTTTCTACTTGGAATTTTCAATCCCATTATTTATTTAAAATGATCCAATTTTTGATATCTTTAGCTTGGTTTGAGTTTAATTATATATGAGAATTTCCTCATTCTACTCCTATTCATGAAAAATGCAGATTAAGAGATGGGTCCTTATGGGAGGTAAAATGGGTGTAAATGGATGTATGGGATGTAAAAAGGGGCTTTGGGGTTGCTGTTCACTTGTTGTTTGTGCTAGGGTTATTCTCAGCCACCAGATTCCTGGGTGCACCCCATGATTTATCACTCACCACACCATTTAGCTGGATGGTCATCTCCCCGTGCTCCACCTTTCCTCTGTGGGTCATTTATGATGTTCTTTTGGAAGCTCCTGTACACCCAGCTCAGGCAGAGAAAACCTAGCTAGATTTGCATTGCAGAGATAAGTCAGCCATCTGGCTAGGCAACAGATCCCAGTGGCTTTCTGTTTCAGATTCTAGTAATATTAAAACTCAGCTGCTTTTCCTGGCCCCACAATATGCAAACAGTGGGTGAGTTGCTGTGAGCCACTACCAGGTGGGGAGAGAGCAGGCAGCTTATCCTAGAAATTCACTGCAGTACAATCCGTTACGGGATCCCTGACAAAGCCACTTCCTTATTCAAACTTTGCTTTCAGGGGTGTCAGTCTTTTACCTTATATAGACTTATTCTTCAGCTACTAGCAGAGAAGGGTCCTAATTCTTATTCTCTAGTGGCCTATTATGCTGGTATCTTGCATGATATCTGACCATATGTCATAGCGATGCAGTAACTGCTTCCTTGTTTAGTATTTGCACACACATATGTTCCAGGAAGCTAGCATGTACACCTACATTTCTTGTCTGATGATTCAAGCAACTAAAAAACTGTTAAATTTTATCTTATACCGATAGAAAAACAGAACTCCGAGTCCTACAAATTAAAGCAGGGCGGGGAGGGGAGGGATTGGGGTCAAAATAAGGGGGTTGCAATTGTATGGGGAATATAAAAATAAAATTTATTAAAAAAATAAAATAAAATAAATTAAGTAAAAAAATTCTAAAGACAATCAAAAAAAATAAAGATGCAATTTGAACAATTAATTTGAATATTTAAAAAGCCAAATGCTATGTCTGTATTGTTCAATGACATTTAAATTACATAAATAAAAAGTCATGTAGAAATCCTTAATCATTATAAAAAAATAAAAAAAAATAAAGCAGTGCTTCATGCATTTCTGCAGGCATTAAGCATCATCTCGGGCCCTTTCTTCTTAAATACAAAAGCAAGACCCCTTGCAGGTGGCAGATTCCCAGGCTCACACCTGGAGGTCCCGCTCTAGGGCCAGAATTTGTTCTGTTTTTAACTAGGGCCCCAGCTGAGTCTGAGACAGGACCAGACAATCCTGCTGGGGGAGGGGTTTGGCAGGGGGCGGGTTCCAGAACAAAGAGCTGTCTTAGCGATTCCCCTTCACTGACTAAACTGTCATCTGGAGTAACTTCTGTCCACTCTCAGGAAGAAACACATGAGGAATTAAAAAGTGCTATTGTGAGCAAACTGACCATTCTGCAGGGAGAAGTTTCTGGATGTCTCTGGAAGAGATAAAAGCTTTGTTTCACAAAATGGCCTCACTCATCATCTGGTTGCAGCCTCCTTCCCAACCCCCTTCTCTCCTTTTTCTCCTTTTTAGATTCACGTACACGTTACATTCTTTTCTCCTCTGATTATCCAACCTCTTTTTCCAGAGGCTCATGTAAAATCTGCCAGGTGACTAATTTTAGAAGATGGAGTAGATAATTATAAACTGCTAGCAGAACTTACAGGTGAGATTCAGAACCTCGGAAAAGCTAAGAGGCCACTATTGCTGGAGTCTTGGCATTGGTTGAGAGTCTTGGTGTTGGTCGGGAGTCTTGGTGCTGACCTTTCTTATTTTTAAGACGACTAAGAAAGGCATGATGTAAAGTGGTAGAAACATTCAGTGCTCAGGTCCCAGCACTGCTCAGATTCCTGCAAGGGAATCCCATCCACACAGCCCGCAAGCCCCATTACCAGGAACAGGCAAACACCATAGTCAGCAGAGTCCCTGCAGTCTACCAGATGCAAAGCCATTGCACACAGGCTAAGACACTGGAATGGAAACCTCCAGGAGTTGATTATCAAGATTAGTCACCAGGGTAACTCAGTCTAGGAACGGAGCAGCGCTTGGAAGCAGCAGTCAGGGAATGTGAGGATAGCAAGACTAATTTAAGAGGTTGTGAACAGACAAAGCTATTTACAAGCAGGGTCTCTCATTCTTTTATCGGTGAAGCAAACCAGCTGGCCTGCAGGTCCTGACGCTGTAATCTAACCAGTAACGTGACAGTGGATTAAGGACATTGACTCTCACCAAGCCAGGAAATGATGAAAAATGTCCCCATGGACCGCTTTAGGGATAAACAGAGGGAAACGCTTCTTCTCTTTTGAACATTTAGCTGTTGGGATGACTAAGAAAGTAGTAACAAAACTGGATGAACAAATAACAAAAATGGCTAACAATTTGAATCCTGGGGGTGTATCCAACTTCCTTGATGCCACCAGAGAATAATCCCAAGAGAGAAGAGAGGTTGGAAAATTGAAAGGCTATTCTTTCTCTCTCGAGCCTAACAGTTCTGTCCTTTAGTTCTTATACTAGGGGCCAAACCTCTTTGTTACTTTGCCTAATAGGGAGTTAACCCATTTTCCATCTGAGAACCTGGCTATTTTAATTCAATGAAAGGAAAAAATTTTATAAGTAGAAAATGGCAGTTCTTACTTAAGGTGATTCAATTTCTATACACTTCATTTTCTAATTCTCCCCAAAGACACCTCAGATCTTTAAATGTATCCTTTTCATTGGTGCCCCTTGGGCCATCAGTGGATGGAGCAGTGGGGGAGCAGATACTGGAGAGTATTATCAACCCATGAAATCACCAAAGAGGCCCCAGAGATCTGCCAAAGCCTTTGAATTCACTGCATCACTAACCCGCAGCTCTGAGCTATATGTCATTGTTTGGCAATTGATGTAATACATAGGCCCTATGAATTATTTACATCTACACATTGCTTATCAACATTATAATCTGCATTTATGAATTTGTTCTGCCCTGTTTGCTCACTATGCTCTAGGTATGCTCAGGCAGGAACACGTTCTGCTCATCGACTCTTTTATTCATTTCCTGATGGGCTATTCTGTTGCTATTGGCACCCGGCCTCATTTTAGTCAATTCCACTTTAAGAAACTGATTCATCCATTGCTCTGTCTCCAAGGTCCCAAAAACAAACTGGAGGAATTTCTTCTGTTTATATACAAGAAAAATTTAAAAATGAAGATTAAGTAATAAGTAAACCAAATAAACTGGCTGAAAACATTTTCTCATCTGACATATTTTATTATAGAGCACATTCATTGTGACAATTAGCTTGACTAAACCCTGGAAAAGCAAGAAAAACTCTGGAAAAAAATAGCAACTGAGTAAATAGATTCATAGAATTATAAAAGATCATCTAGAGTTCAATTAGCTCTCTCATTCCAGTAGAGGGAACTGAGACCTACGTTCAACAATCCAGGAAAATGAATTAATTTGCACAAGATTATAAAATTAGTGATAGAATCAGGCCTGAATTAGTTTTGGACATTAAATCAAAGTTTCCATTACCATACTTGTTGCATAAGCAACATCTCTTCTCAAAGAATCCTAAATTAATTGCTACCAATGACTCTTTCTGCAGTACTGTCATGAAATGGTGTTAGAGTTCTGAGGTCACTTGGCAAATTTCGCCATCTTGAATTGAAGCTCAAAAAGTTCTCCCCTTGGGTTTGTGGCCACTCCAATCAAAAGTTTTCATCATCAAAGAGCCATGGAGTGGCAATGCTTGACACGCTCATGTTCATCTCTAAAAGTTACTCAAGACCTACCCTCCATCACTTCATCTGCTCCATCTAAACTGCTATAGCAGAGACCAACATTTCCTCTTAGAACACTGTCCTGGCTTCATCTCCAGGGTTTCCCTACTGTGAGGTCTAATCTCATCTCATCCTCTCCTCCAACTCCCCTGTCAGTGAAGAATGACTGCAGTTCCCCCTTCATTCACAGACGTATTGAATAGCTTCTAGGGTATCTGATGTTGGAATCTACAGTATGTACATGGCATCCAGAATATGCTCAGTAAAGTATCTTTTGGATGAATGTTTTAATTCAGTCACACAACAGGAGGCACGTAATTAGGAACATATTGCTGTACACTCTATCACAAAACAATCATGCTCTTATATCTCTATTTAATTTACCAAATCATTTATGGCTTGCAATAACTATTACAAAGAGAAAATCACAAAATACAAGATGGGAAAGATGGCAGAGAGACATTTCATGTGGTTCAAATAAAGGCAGGAAACAAGACTGGTTAATTGTAAAATTAAAGTAATAATACTATGAAGTTATTATTAAAAAAAAAAAAGAATGGATGACAAGGGAAAAAAGAAGGGGAAGAGCTACATGCAGGAAATAACCATATGCTGACCCAAGAAAATGAGGGAAAACACATAATCCAAATGTCGATCAATAATCAAGAACATGAAGGTGATGTCATTTGTAATGTTACATAATATTATCCTTTTCTGAGTTTTTACTGTGTGTATGTGTATCTTTGTTTCAGGGAAGATGAAAGAGACACACAGGAACTGTGGATGTGGACATAAAGCAGGGCAAGCCAAGTATTTGGTGATTCTGTGGGAGCCACATTCTGAACTAGCACAAACAAGTCCTGGGCAGCTTCCTGATAGAGCACTGATTACAAAGTGACCAAGTGGAAAACCTTCCTGCTGCCAAACCAGTCACTGGAACTGTGATAAGAAGGTGACAACTTTGCAGAGAGTACAAGTTCAGACAGGCATTCAAATTATAGGCAGAAAAACTAAAAAGGAAGAAAAGGTAGTAGATCACTCCATTAATCTCCTGAACACAATAAAATAGCTCCCAATCATCACATTACCTGTATATTCTAAAATTCACAAGTGATCATCACTAACAATTTCTTTGTTTTAAATATAACAGGCATTTTCAGAGCAGACCTTATTTCTCTATGGCAGCATTGCTCACACTGATTGTTCCTTTTTCTTGACACCAGTGCTCCGTCCTACCTCTCTAGTTACTAGCTATTTTGCTATTCTCCTTCATGGGACTCCTGCCCTTTAATTGGGAGTTGCTCAGAAGGTCCTGTCTTCTCCTTTCACCATATATTTTCTCCTAACCTAATAAAATCTTATTCCCTCGCTAATTCATCTTCATGCTAGTGACTCTCAAACTCATTGGAGCCAGAATCTTAGCCATGAAGATGCAGCTGTTCCCTGACTGCCTTACCCCCAAATGCCCAAACCAACTTCCTCTGGCCCTCTGGTCACTGCTCAGTGGCTCCTCTGTTATCCTACACAGCCTTCTGAGCCTCATTCTTGGTTTTTTGTCCTCTGGCTTAATCACAACTTATTTCTGATGGTCAAAATTACCAGAAAATGGGCTAAGTGGAGAAAAGGTCAAACCACCCTTGTCCTCCTGGAGCTTAGACTCATGAACACACTCCCCACCCCACCCCAGTCCTGCTAACAGTGCCCTGTGGTTCTTGAGGCAGCCCCCTGTTCTCTAACCCCACTGCCATTTTCCTACTTTAGGGACCATCATTTCTTGCCTTGATTGCCTCATCAGCTTCCTAAAAGCTCCTCTAATTCAATACACAATACAGGGAGAGAAAATAACTTAAAATCAATCTTATCGTACCACCTCTGCTTTACATACGAACAACTCCTCTCTGTTCTTAAGGTAAAGGTGTAACTCCTCATTAAATAGCTGTGAGGAAGGACTGGACCAAGCCTATAGAAACCATAGGGAGGAAATACCAGTCCCCCTTCAATCCTATAATCTTTCAACATTCATTCAACACTGTTAATCAGGTTGTTTTCTTTGGAATGTGACGAATGGCCAGGAGGGGATGGTGAGCTGGCGAGACTTCAATGGGCTATTCTCATCTTTCAGCTCCCAGGTAGACAGTGCCTCTGCCCACACTATTGCACTACCTATGACGTATTGTGATTTCTCAAATACTTTGTATTTTCCACCTGCTGTAGCAGCATCTCTAGCTTTTTTATTGTTTTTGAATTGCTCTGGTTACTGCCTGAAATATTTTTGTGGACATTAAGTATTTGCTGGGTATATGGATACTACCTACCTTTCCCTAAAAAGGAAGCTTTTATTTACAGCCATCTATGTCTTCTTTAAAAATATAATGGCCATCCTAAGCTTTCATCTTCCCTGTGAGCATCCCAATTATACTGCTAAAAATCCCACTTCAAATGTTCCCTGGTCCCCGAAGACTTCTCTAAGGAAAACAAGCCTCTTCCTCTCTCCAGCACAGTGTCTTACACATAATTAGCATCCAATAAGTGGTTTCTGAATGAATAAATTAAGTCACTCAATGGGGATTCAAATAAATTTTTCATGCTATGTATTTTAAAAAAAAGTCTAGCTTCTATCATTAAATATTGAGCAGCTGAAAAGGCTAGCTAGCACTGTTAGTCTTTAGTACTATCCCTAGCAGAGAAGCATATATATAGTAAATGGATATTTAACATTTCTCAATTGTTTATTTTTCCCAGCAAGGGACAAATCTATTTCCTCTTGTCCAGGGACCTCAAATGGTGAAGAGCTTTATGCTGAACCTTTAATGAGTCCTGACTTATCTCACCTGTTCTTTGTCAGAAACTTGTTAAAAATTTTAACAATATGAATAAATTACCAGGACATAACCTGGGATAAATATAGAGCCCTTATATAAAAGTTAACAACTTTGAAATAAAAAGAAAATCTCCTTGACTGATTTTTGATTCATGACATGTGAATAGCTGCGTTGTTTAAAACATAAAAAAACTTGATGTAAAACAGGAATTACAGAATTATAGGATTTAGGGCTGAACAGGACCCAAAGAAGTTATTTCATTATCCAGCTTTCATAGATCATAAATAGCATGCTGTAATTTCAAAAGTTAAAAACTGGATAAAGATTTACATTTATATTTTCACATCAACAATGTGGACCATTTTTTATAAATGGTCTTTCTTATTCAAAATCAGCTGGTGTTATCTATCCTGATAGTTGAAACCCTCCTAGCTCACATCTTCCTTTCCAACTTAAAATCTTAAAGATCATTTTGCTTTCTTTCGGCAAGCTGAGGCAGTCTGTCTTACCTACACTTCACACCACCATTTCATACCTGGAACACAGATACACACTAACAATTCACCCTGCTATTTATTCAAATAATTCTCATTGGACCAAAATTACAGGCAAGTCTTCATGAATCATCATCATCTTCAAGTGAAAAAAGGGAGGGGACTGGCAGAGGGGAAGAAAAGACTGTAACTGTTAATGGGTATGGGGTTTCTTTTTTGGGTGATAATATAAAATTAATTATGGTGATGGATATACAGCTGTATATACACTAAAAAAATTGAATTGCACACTTCACATGGATGAATGATAGGGTATGTGAATTATATATCCCAAAAAAGAGATTTTAAAAACCCAAACCATAACAAAACAAGAATTATCACTCTTTCCATGGATAAAGGACACTAATTTTAAAAATTGGCTGATTTAGCAAACAAGGGTATTTGGCATTTATTCCCCTTCCAGACACTGTTGCTTTTAGTTCATTTACAGTTTTATCTGCTTATCCTATGTGATAGGTAATCAGAGCTCAGAACCTTGGCAGGAAGTCCAAAAACAGTTCTTTCCAACAAACTTAAAAAAAGTTTTAATAACATTATCTAATGGTGTATTAAAGCACTGCTTTGATGCCATTTTATGATCTTAAGCTCCTGCTTTCCATTTTGAAATGACAGGCTTATACAGATCATGTATCTGACTTTACTAAACTTTTTTCTTTAGAAAAAAGTCATCCTATTTAAGACAAAACAAATAGTATTTTAGGTGCTTTTGAATTCCAAAGTAATCTATAGTTCTGCAGGGATTTAAACCACAAAATCCCATCCAAATATACAAGGGCAACACTTACATAAGCCAAGTTTGATCGTTCATGAATTATTTACATAATATTTTGTTTCTAAATTAGTCTCGTGAATTCTATTTCACCAATTCGCTCATATACTTCCAACCTACCCCAAGCCCTTCTCAGGATATAAAACCACACATTTGTCTCCTAAGCATGAAATGCTAAATTCCTCTAAGGCAAGAATGGTCAAGGTATAATATATATTACATGCACTGTACCTATTGTTCATGTCTATACGTGTATATACGTGTATTTCACCTCACTCACTTTTTCTTCATTCCCAAAATGTAAATATTATATGTGACTGCCCTCAAATCTTCAAAAATTCTCTATTCTCTCCAGAAAAGCCTCCAAATTCTTCAGTATGCCTACCAGATCTTTGCTTTCTTCTCCCACCTATCCTTTCTAACTTCAGCTTCACACATCAACACAAGTGTGAGGGATGACTCAAAGTTCTTCCTCCTCACTCATACTGCACACCTTCAGGAGCTAGCTGTCCTTTTGATGGCTCTCCAGTCTTCTCTGGACCGTGTTAAGGCATATGTTCTATGGCCCCTTCCTTATCAGATTTAATTTCTCCCTTTTAAGTGGGCCCATGGCATGTTGGTATTAAGCCATTTTTCATGACTTCACCTTACAGCACCTAGAAACGTGTCTTTCTTTCCTCATCAAAGTTCTCTGATGTTTGAGATTTGATTTATGCAAGAATCCCCTAAAAAAGCACATGTTTGTAAGTCTTTCACCCTAAACAGAAAAGTTACTCAATAAATAATTGGAGATTGAATTATTCTTATCTTAATTTCCCTACACCAAGAATGTGTGGGGCATATAGCAATTAATCAGCAAAAAAATGTTGATTCATAGAATATAAGTCCCTGGAAGGATAATCCAAATAATCAGTGCCTGACTTCAGGGACAAACTAAAGTGATAGATCTTGACACACAAAGTAAGCTTATTTTCTAAACTGTTTCTACACTGAACTGGACATTTTAATGTATCAAAACAATCAACTTGGCAGCTGTACTTTTGTTTTCAGTGGTTCTTCTGGAAAAGACTATTTTCAGCTGAGCAAAATGTAAAATAATTTTGGATTCAAATTCTTGGATTCATTCAAGAATTTATTTTATTTGAACTGCCTCTGGACCAGACAGTGAAAAAGGTTTTAAATTATAAAATGAAGATATGGACCCTATCCTAAAAGTATTTATAGTACACAGTGAGGGGCGGGTAGGAGGTTGGGGAAGGATCTCAAAGAATCTGGGTTTTGGTGCTTCACCAAATGGGTACTAATTAGTTCTATATTGATGAATCTGGAAGTTCTTTAATATGTACTCTCTGAAATGTAAATATACTATTTACGTTTCAATGTAAACTATCATTCCAATAATAAATAAAATTGATCCCAAAAGACTTGACCATATCCCCTATGTTAAAAAATACCTATATTTAGACTATATTTTATTTAATTTAATTACATACTTAATTAGGAAAATATTTTCTAATTATAACTCTTAATAATATACAAAGTTTAAAACACCAAGCCCAAACAAGTTAAAATAATGTCAATGTGTAAAGTCAAATAAGAACAATTAAGCAAAAATCATTACTGTGCCCTTAAAAGTATTTCCTCCTGGAACTATGATCTCTGTAACTCTTATCTCCATAAAAACTAGAATCCAAGTCCATGAAAATAAAGTTCATGGAGCATACTATCCTTCTGGTGACTAAAACTGTTACTGAAAATAACTTTCATGAGACATTTAAGAAATCCACCTATTAATTTCATTGTTAGAATGCAAGAATATGCTACACACATGTATGCCTTCATTATGCTAACTGTTCTCTTACTTATACCACATAAAAACATTTTTAACATGCATTGGCCCAAGATTCTGCTTTTGGATCAGCTCCTCAATATGTGTTGGAGAGATGAAGAGTCACAAATAATATAATCTCACTTAAAAAAAACCAACAACACTGCATTCTAAACTTGTATTTACCTGACGTCTTGAGTAAACATGCACTTTTCTCCATTCTTTATTGGGTGATTATCTAGGCTCTTTGGATCATCTTTTATGGAGTCAAATGTTGAATTATTTTTGTTAAGATGTATAAAATTATACGACCATCACGGTTATAAATTCTAAAAACCAAAGGAAATGACAGCAATTGTAAGATTATGTTTTATTTAAGTATATATATCATATAAAAGTTTCAGTCTATGAATATGAAGTTTTAGTCTATGAATATGTGAATCCTTTTGGTCCCTGGACCTGCCTTTGTTTCCTCATATGACACTGGATACAGAACATAACTGCCCCATGGGGAGGGGCAAGGAATAAAGGGTCTCCATTTCACTGGTGATGCTGAGAGGCACTCAGCACTATAACCATGTTGTTCAAATATAAATAAGAGAATAAACAATGTGAGTGACCTTCATAAGGTTTTTCACATTTATTTCAAGTTTATTCCATATCACTAAATATTGAACTACTTATAAGCTGCACCTAACTTGCTTAACTAATTCTGAGTCCTTTCAGGCCATATCAATATCCAGCTTCTAGTTTCCACTCTTTAAAATAGTTCTCCATTGTTCTCCTAGATTCTAAGGTACCAACATTCACGGTGGGTATGATTTGCTGGGGCTTCAGCCACTGAACAAAACGTTTCATTTCTTTGTAGCTGCTGTGTTCACTATAAGGAATTCCTGCAATAGAAAAGAAAAAATAGTGTCTACAAAAAAATCAAATTAATTTAAAAAAAACGCACAAGCTTAAAATAAAATAGAGAAAAAAAACAATCCAGAGTATTTTTGTCGAAAACTCCCTGGTACTTCATTTATGATAAGGAAATTTGTTAATACGTTTTATAATAATACAAAAATTCAAAACAAAAATAGAATTAAAAAATTCTATTACTTTTCTATGTAGATACCTAATAATGTGCATTTGTAGAGATTCTTAATTATAATTAGACTTTCATTCGTTTTAAAATAATTCTTCTTTTCATGGATCAAGAAGATATGGTATATACACATAATGGAAAACTACTCAGCAATCAAGAAAGATAAACTTGTGCCATTTGTGGCAACGTGGATGGAGCTGGGAGGGATTGCTCTAAGCAAAGTAAGTCAGAAGGAAAAAGAAAAATATCAGATGGTCTCACTTACAGGAGGGATATAGGGAAACTGATCAGGAAAAAGACAAAATTTTCAGGCAAGCCATGGACCTGAAGCCCACAGCAGGGGAGAGGGAGGGAGGGAGGTCAAAACAGGGGAAGAAAGGGCACAAGGGACTATGGTGACAGTCACGGGTGCCGTGGTGGTGGGAGAATTATGGGGACTACACCTGAGGGGAGAAAATAATTCGTTTTTTTAAGCACTTGGCTCAGCTATGGATTTCAAGAAAACCCTGGAATCATTAGGAAACTCATGATTTTCAGATCAAGTAAGCAGATTTCAGTCCCCAAGCTTTGCACACATAAAAAATAAGCAAAAAGAAAATAAATTTAAGTCCTAAAAATCCCTTTATCTTCTTCACTGAAGATCAAGTCCCACATAGAATAGGAGAAAGGGTCCTGACTCTTCAGAGGCTGAAAGTCACTAGTCGAAAGACATCAAAATGTTCCCATTAGTCATTATTATAATAAGCCAATTTCTGAGAATAATGGCAAGAAAGCCCTCCTCCAAGCAAGAAAGTCAAGTCTGCAACTCCTGCTGTTGACTTCGTTTGGTTTCACATGTCACCTAAACTTCCACTACACACACTACCCTCCCCACAACCCCCTGCCCTCGACACCTCCCCCCCAGATCAACCTCTTCTACGATTTCCTCTCATATCACTGAGCCCACAAATGAAATGATCCAGACTAGTCACACGCCTTCCTGTCAGGTCACAATGTACTAGATACAGGTTGAGAGTGTGTAGAGCAATTTGAAACTCTTGAATTGTTAAGGATTCTGTTCTACCTGTTTTCCTCAGATCTTACTTTTATAGCTCATTTTTTTAAATGCAAAGCAATTACAAACATTAAAAACTTAATAACCATACCATATATTGAAATGTTTCCTTTGGTCTGGGGAATGATGTCTGATACACTAGTAAATTTATTAGAATGTGTCCATCCCGTGGGTCGAAAAGCCAAAATTTGATTATATTTCCTACCACACTTCTCCAAATGACTCTGTAAACCCTGTTGAATAAAAATACGATATTGAATGGTCAGTGAAAATGGGTTTTGCAGAATACAACAGAATGACTGGAGATGTTATCTCAGCATAGTCACAGGAAGTTTTTACTTGGTAACTATTAACTTGCAACAATCTAGTGCTATGCTTCCAAAAAATAAAATCATTTTCCCTTTTACTACCTAAAATTAGACAAGTATTGTCGTAAGAACAGTATAATGAGGCAACTTTCAACATAAGTAAAGTGCATTAAAAAATTACAATTCAGAGCTACAAAGACAAAACAAAACAAAACCCCAACTCACACACCTGTCCAAACCCTACTGGGACATTAGATAAACTGTTAGGATATTAGAGACACTCATGTGTACACAGGGAAGAGCCACCCAGATATAGTCCCATGCATATGTGCCAACAGAGGATCGACAGATGCATATAAAGATGGTAACAACTCTATAAAAGTGACATCACAGTCAACATAGACATATTTTGAAGATGGATAGCAGTACTCTGCTCAGGTGTTCACCCTTTAAACACGAATGCTAATTACTTTTTCACCCTTTAAACATGAACTCTAATCATTTCAAAGCTTTTCATGCTGGTACATAAGTTTTGTGTAGAATAGAATTTTCCAAACTAAAGCCATCAGAAGTGATGCCATCTGAAATAATTCTTAGGAAATTAATGAGCAAAGTATTATCCTTGAAAAATAAGAGAAATCCGACTAAGATAAAAATGGCATGAAGGATAAAAAAAAGTCTAATACTTTTGGTGTTCAGACTAAACTCAGAGTTTCAAAGACTTAGTATAAATTTATAATAAAATCTTAGTTGTATTTAAAATGAAATCTAAACTACAGATAGCATCATCTTGGATTTCCAATTCTCCTTTCTGTTCCTTAATTATACTTGGAATTATTAAAATGTTTTAGAAGATGTTGTTATTAAGTTATGAAGAAAACAAAGACAAATCCATTCTTTCATCTACTTATTCATTGATCCAGTAAGTATTTGTTTCACTCTTATGTCATGTCTTGCTGTCTGTATGGTGGAAGAGAGACAGCTTTCAGTTCCTGGAAAAGCTTACAGTGCTGGGGGGAGATGTGAACAAACCCTACCTCCTGGGTATTTTTAAAATGGAAACCATCTGTCCTTCCTTAACTTTTTATAACTCTCATCATCTATAAGCTATTTTGAAAAGCTCCATAAAAGTTATTTCATGAACTTACAGCAAATAATTAAAATAACTTTTTACACGTACATTATAATTCTAAATAGTTTTAGTATACAGGTTCCATTGCTAGCTGTCCAAATGCTAGTGATAGGACTAAATCTTGACATGAATACATCTAATGAAAAAGCTCCTAAATCAAAGGGAGTTCTTGTCATATGTATCTCAGTTTATGCCTCAGAACTATCACCAGAACTCTCTCTTGGACTCTCTCTTGGAGTTAATTCCACAATTTCATTCAATCCTCAGAGCAAGCACATTTCCAAGACACATCAATGATACGGGAGCTTAATATCAATTCAGAATAACAGCCCCACCAAAAGTCAGAACTTAGAATTTCCCACTCATTGCCCACTCTCCCAGGAAGAAGTGGAAACTATCTCAAAAGTAGGTGCGAGCAACAAGACTGCTGTGTGCTTTTCTGTGTTTCTTCGTTTATGACAGCTCTCTAGTTCCTAAACTTCTGCTGGTGTCTAAGTAATTTTATTCCGCTGAACACACAAACAAACTAAAAATATATTCAGTTCTCCTTAAAAGATTTTCAAGAGTAAAGATTACTGCTGGTGACTTTACTATAATTGAATTACAAAGGCAGGTAAGTGGGGTTCCAGTTCACAGCCACCAGATTACCTTTTTCCAGCTCATCCTAGAAGGACATACCTCTTGAATGCTTACCTTAAAGTTAATTTGCATCATTGGGAGAAGGTGAACCAGTGAACTGCCCATGTCTGTAGTGATGAGAGATTTAATTTCTGGTATATTGAGGCACTGTAACGTTTTATATTTTTCTCGGGACATTCCCACTTTTGAACCTAAAACATCAGCAATAGCTATAGGCAAAGGAAAAGGTAAAAACAGTAAAATTACAGATTATGAAAAATAATAAAATTACAATATAAGCAAATTTTACAACAGGAATTTACCAAATAAAATGAAATTCAAAAGCTTTCACATTTTGCCATAACATTCCAAAAAGGCTGAATAATTCTTTTGGTTAACTGTCTAGAAAAATGTAAAAAACAATCTACTTTTGAAGCCCTGCTATTTAAAAATTGCAAACTTTTTCTAGAACAGGGTAGGAGGAAGCACAGGAACCTAATAGGGAGGCTTTATCCATTCCTATCTTAAGACTTGACATTATATGATCATAGTTAAGAAGTAGTTAAGAAGTACTTTGCAGACAGTACATCACTACCTAGACAAACTACAGTTACTTATCCAGAAATCATCAAAGAACAAAAATTAAAACAGTGCTCTACAGTGATCTGATGTTTACCCTGAAGAATGTAGTAGCATAACTATGCACTGGTCACCTTTCAAAGTTTATCAAAAAACAAACTGCATGGGCATTTGCTCCATAAACATCTGACAGATATAAAGGCCACCTAAACACATTTATCACATTTCTGTTAAGTCTTTCAAATTTTAAATGAATCCAACTCCTTTAAACCTGTCCTTCTATTTCAAAGGTCATATTTGAACCACTTCAGGAAATAATTATCAAGTGCAATAATAGAGCCTGAAAGGGCTTTATGCAAAAAGAATCTGATCTTTATAATATATTAATGTAAATTAGATACAGTCACCTAGGAAGACTTTCTCTTTTCCAATAGAATAAGTACCACAGACAACAAGAGCACGTGGGTTTAGAGTTACAGCCTCAAAGGCAGTGTTGATGGCAAACTGGATAACCTCTTGCTGAGACGGAAAGGAGTATTCTGGGCTGCAATACCTGTAATGTGGAAATATGGTACTTACTAAAAAAAGAACAAGAAAGCAATAGCATTAAGTTGGATGCTGTTTTATAAAACCTGCTTTGGCAAAATTATATACAAAGGCAGTATAATATATTAACATCATTGCATATCTCACTGCCTGTTATTAAAATGTTGCCAGCTATTGATCATTTCTGATGACCAATATAACTTTTCACTATATTTCTTTTTAATATACTTTTTTCAATATATTTCTTTTATCACCCTCAAATTAAGAAACTGTCTTTTTTTCTTTAGGCATATGTCTCGCCAGTTAGCTATTTTAGTTAGCTAACTATATAAACCTCAGCATATTTTTTAAACCCCAATTATAATCAAGAAAATAACACTGAAAGATTATCTTTGAACTAAAGAATTCTGATTTAATAAAAAAATGATTAAAATAATGAAGCTAAACAAATTTAATGAAGTAGTTTTAAATTATTAATATTCACATTGTTTTCTTCTCAGGAAATACAGAAATACATATAATATTACAAGAATCCAACAGATTTATTTGAGCTTGCCTCAATACAATAATACCCAAGAAAAGATAAACCCTAAGACTCTTATACACATATATTTGAAACCAGTAATGTATAATAAAAAGATAATGACCTATATGATTATGTTTATATTAATTAGGAATTCAAAGTTGTCTCTTATAATTATCTTTTGAAAAAAGGAACAAAATAACTGGACTATTCAGAAGCAGAATTGTATTTTGGTCTCTGTTTTCTCCCCACAGTCATACTTTATTGTTACATAGATACTTTGAACCCAAAAGGATGTGTTCCTAAAGTTTGCCCCCAAAGTATTCTTCCTTGTCTCATTAACAAGATTCTAATGTAAGACATACCTTCAAAAGGAAATCACAAAAAATTTGAGCCTTTGTAAGTTAAGAACATGTCATCCCAAATTTGTGCTTAAGCAATACATACTTTTTTTTTTCCAAACAGCATCCCTCTGATAAAATAGCCTTGAAAAAATGATTGACAATAATAATAATGATGACCTAATCATTCTGACGACCTAAGCAATGCTCTAATTAATTCAAAGCATATGGGGGGAAAACATCAGCAGGGAAAGAAAGCAAACAAAGCTTCTCTCACGTGGTATCCAGGTAAAGTGTGTGGACTTTCTGACCCGCCAGAAAAGAACGCTCCATGCTGGGGTCAGCTCTGAAGTCGCCGGTGTGCAAGATGACATGACCATTCGGAAGATAAAAAAGGATCATCACTGCTCCTGGACAGCTGAACACAAACATGCAAAGGAATGTTCTTTACACGGGCAGAACACTGAAAGGGAGGGGACTTAATCAAGATGAACAAGTGAATACACTTTACCAGCTGACCACAACAACAGCATTGTGCTGCGAGGACACACAGCACTCCCAGGGTACTTATGTGGTTAAAAAAACAAATAGAGAAGAAAGGATTAATCCAGCAGGCCTGGGGTACTCAAACTCACACATTCCCCAGAAAGGCCTGTCTTTGGGACTAGCCCTCAGCTGGCCATAGGAGATGATTTCTGAGTCTTTGCTGATAAGAGCATCCTGTGTGTCTGACGCAATGGGCCACATGTTACTGGTTTGATCAGACAGTTTATGCTAACAGCGTGATCTCTGGTGAAAACCTGTTTTTGTTCTGGGGGACTTAAGTCACTGAGGTCAGTCACCTGGCACTGCCATGTGTACACGACTGACATGTAATGACAGCCCTGGACACCAGGCTCCAGTGAGCCTGCCAGGTTGGCAACACTTCACATGCTCTGCTACACACTGCTGCTGGGAGAATCAGGCGCATCTCTGCCACTGCACTGGACCAGGGCTCCTGGAAACGTGCCGGTTTCTCCTGGACTTTGGCCCCATTTGCCTTTTCCCTCTGCTGATTTCAGTCTATACCCTTCAGCCATGATAAGCTACAACCATGAGTACGACAGCTTTCCATGTCCTGTGAGTCCTTCTAGTGAGTCAATGAATTTAAAGATGGTTCTGGGGATCCCTGATGCAAGGGTAAGGAAATTATTGCTCAAACACATGGAATTTTCTTTTTGAATTCTAGAAAAAACACAGGGAATAATTCACTTGTAGTTGAAACCATCACCTTACCACCCTACCCCAAATATACAGACCCCAACGGCTTTCCAATACTTGTGGAAGAAGTAATACTACTACATAACATTTTTCAGAAAAGAGAGGACATAATATTTTACGAGGCCAACATTACCCTGATATCAAAAACAGCGAAAGCATTATCAAAAACTACAGACCGGGCCTCCCCGGTGGCGCAGCGGTTGAGCGCTGGGTTGCGAAGCTGCCTGCAGCCTCTGCAGCGCCAGTTCGATCCCCGGCTGCTCCCCGGCCACCGGTGGAGGGTCCCACATGGCGCGCAGACCTCTCCTGCCGCCCGCTGCTCCCCTCAGCAGTGTACTTCGGTCCTTCTGCCTGCTCTGCTCCCCGCCTTGGCTCTGGTGAATTCTCTCACCCTCCTGCGCGTCTGACTGCACCCAGTGCTTGTATAAATAAATAAATAATAAATGAATCTCTTTAAAAAAAAAAAACAAAAAACAAAAACTACAGACCAACATCTATCATGAAAACAGACACAAAACTCTTTAACAAAATATTAGCATCCCAGAGATGCAAGGCTGGTTTAACTTTCAAAAGTCGATCACTATCATCCTGATAAAAGGCATCTCTGAAACCTGCTGGTAATGTCGTGCTGGATGGAAGGACGCAGTGCTTTCCCCTTAAGATCAGGAATAAGGCAGAGTGTCTGCTCTCACCATAGCTATTCAACACTGTACTAAAGGGCTGAATCTGTACAACAAATGAGAGGGAAGACGCTTCTCTGAACAGAAATTAAAAAGTAAAACAAAATTGTCTTTATTTAGTATATGTAGAATGTATACGCAGAATATTTTCAAGAATCTAGCAAAAACCTAATACAACTAATGGGCAAATTTAGCAAGGTGCTGAGACACAAGACCAACAACAGAAAGTCAGTCGTCCATCAAGAGGTGGGTGGAAAGCAAACTGCAGCGTGCCCACACAAGAGCTTGGCTCAGTGAGGAGAGAAAAACTACTGTTACATGTGACAGTGTGGACAAATCTCAGAAACATGATGAGTGACAGATGCTGGGATACTGTGTGAGGATACTGTGTGATTTCATCCAAATGAATCCCTTGGAAACACAAATCTAATCCATAGTGATACGAACAGATCAGTGATTTCTTGGGCCACTCCACTGGGAAGAAAGAAAATGTTTTGGGCTGGGGAACATTTTCTGTATTTTCATTGTGACAGTAATTACATGGATTCAACAAATACTTAAAATGGTGTATTTTATTTATGTAAACTATACCTCAATAAAGTTAACATAAAAAAATTAGACCTTAAGTTGTCATGATCAGTGATGAAAGAAAGAAACAGCAGCACAATTAACAAATAAAAACTGAATGGCAACCTGAAAAATAGCACTGGTTTTGGTATTAGAAGACCTAGATTCAGTTTCAATTTTAATTCTCTAAACATCTATGATCTCTAAGGTTAGGGAGGTTAACACTCTACGAAAGTTGAAAGAAGCATAGTTAATAAATCATCTTGGGAACATGAATACTGACAGTACTTTATCATTAAGAAAGAATTAAGGGGATAAATGGAAACCATATCCAGGAAAGAAATCTTCCAGTCTTTAGTATCAAAAGCCTGAAGAAATGCTTAAAGGAGAAAAATCACTCTACTTGAATAGGATACAAGCTGTTAATTTATGTAAGTGACACTAAAGGAAATAGAGAACAGCAGAACATTTTAACATGTTAAAAATACTAAAACAAAAGTTAAAAAGAGGGAATCTCAGATGTCAAGCATAGTAATTTTAACTGGATTAAAAAATGGTTAAATAACATTTAGAGGACTGCTCTACATTTAATTTCTGATTCTGTAATTGAGGTTTTTTTTTCCAAAATGAGAAACATGTTTATATACATAGTTTATACATACTAGTATGAAGCATACCAGTTTTAATAAATTAATTATTTAATAAAACATCAAATAATAATTATTAGTGATAATTAATTATTAATAATTAATTATTTAATAAAATAATAATTTTAATATTAACAATAATTGATTATTTAATAAAACATTCTTAAATAATCACGCCAAGGTGTTCTTTTGAATATTTGAAAAATAAGACTACTACAACGATTACTATCATACTTACTGGTTGGCGTCAAGTAAAACAACACTGATACCATTTACTGTACATTTAGTGTCCATTGGCAATGGATGGATATATTGTTCTTGCACATGAAGTTTGCTCTTCAACAAATTTCCAGTTATCTGCAAGACAGGATGTATTTATTGCTGATACAGTAAAACACTAAAGTCTTAAATCATACCTAGTTAAGAGCCCAAGCATCTTAATAATCTCCCTGTTCGGCCACTTGCTTTCCTAAAATGAGTTACAACTTTGCTCAAATACTGTCACTGACGCTCCCTCTCCTGGGAAAAGTCCGTCCTCCCCAGCATCACATAAAAAACCCTTTGAGATCAGGCCCCTGCCCATTTCTGCAGATTTATCTGCTCTCATTAGCTACTGTGGGTTGAGCGGCTCTGAATTACCTGAGAGCCTGGAATGGGTACATCTTCCAGGCACCTGTGCCATTACACAAACTCTGCTCTCGCCCTGGTTCAAAGGACCTGATGCTGAGAGTGGACAGATCTGTGTTCAAATTCTGGTTCTGCCATCACCAGCTTTGTGACATGAGGCATATAACTTAACCTCTCCAAAATTCAGTTGTTTGAATAACAGAAAGGAGCTAATTCAAGAGTGCTATGAGGATTATATAAATTTCTAACTAAAGCCTTTAAGCACTGCAATGTTCATCTTTTAATAATTAGTTGGAGGTCTTGGCCTGGGACAGAGTAAAGTCCTCTTTCCTCCTTACCTCATGCAGTTCACATTTCCATTTTCCTGCTCACTTTCCTACCACAATGCTTATTCCCTGGTGGTATTACTGGTGAATGTCTCCCGAGGGCTGTAAGCTCTTCGCAGCTAGGTGTTTTGCCTAAAATACCTTTTTAGGCACTCAATACATGTTTACTGAATGAATTTAGGTATTTTTCAATCCACCATGAGGTAAACCAAATGGCATAGGAGTTCACTGCATTCCACAAGCTCAGAGTTCAGAAAACTAAAACTTACCTCACTACAATAAACTGGAAGGGTGAAGTGTTTAGACAATCCAGCATAGTGATCAGAGTGAAAATGGGTGAGAAAATAGGCGGTGCAACCTTCAACCGGCCCATACTGGAAGGCATCCACTGTAAAGCCAGTTCCTGCAATGGAAACACCAATGTGCCAGCTTGAGTGACAGCTCACGAAGCAAATGTACCCACGTGACTATACGTTGTGACCCTCTCACATCTCTACATCTCATTTCCAATTTAATTCTATAATTTAATTTTAAAACTTAAAGCATTTAAATCATTACAGAATTTTTTTAAAATTCAGCAAAAAGGAGACACTAAAGAGCCTCCTCTGGTGGCACAGTGGTTGAGTGCTGGGTTGTGAGGCTGCCCACAGCCTCGGCAGCGCCGGTTCGATCCCCGGCCGCCAGCAAGGGTCCCACAAAAAAAAAAAAAAAAGGAGACACTAAAGATGACAATGAGATACGCAGCTTCCTACTGATTGCCCTAGTATAAACTATTTTTTATGAATAACTATACATAACAAAATCAACAAAAGGAGAATGCTAACTTCTAAAATAGAAATCCCTAATGGGAGTGACAGTGATGTGCTTTTAAGAGGGCAAAGATGGTTGAAGACCCAAGTCATTATACAATAGTTTGTGGCCCTCTGAAGGTCACAGTACAACACCAGATACGTAGCAGTAGTTGTAGTATTTGGATTTCACTGTGGGGGCAAAGAGGGTAGAGGTGGGAGGGAAGCAAAAAAAAAAATATGTCTACAAAAGCCTCCCTAAAAGGGTAATAATGAAAAAAACAAAGTATTGGGCTATTCTGAAATGTGCTCATGAAAGAAATAAACCACTGTGTTGAGCAGGATGTACAAGAAAGGTAGGAGAGCTTCACAATTCTGTTGAGGCTCATCAGCATGTGGCATACTAGCATGAAGGCCACTATAATGCAGAAAAGTAATCAAAACAATCATTAAATACAAAATTGGTATGATGATGCACACAAATGCTAATCTCTATGTGAATATTCTGAATAAACCACAGACCTATAATATCAATAATGTACTAGAAATGGCCTATGAAAGGCACAGGCACGTGAAAAAATGCTCAATATCATTTCTTATAAAGGAAATGCAAATTGAAACCACCACAGATATTACCTCACTCCTATATGATTAATAAGGCAATGGCCAACATCAAAAAGACTGGAAAAAAAAAAAAACAAAAGGAGAGGAAATGGAGAAAGCGGAACTCTCTTTCACTGCTGATGGGGGTGGAACTTGGTGTCATCTCTGTGGAAAATGGTATGGAGATGCCTCAAAAAAATTAAAATGGAAATACCATATGTTCCAGCAGTACCATTTCTAGATATTTATCCAAAGCTCATGAAAACACTAATACTACAAGATTTCTGCACTATGCTCACAGCAGCGCTACCCACAATTGCCAAGTTGTGGAGCCAACCTATGTGCCTCTCAACAGATGACTGGAAAGAGAAATTGTGGGACATGGACACAACAGCACATTACTCAGCTATTAAAAAAGATGAAATAGTGCCTTGAAGGACAAATGGATGGATGGTGAGGTGGTTATTCTAAACCAATTAAGTCAGAAAGTGAAAAACAGTTACCAGATGGCTTTGCTCATTTGCTCAATATATATAACCAAAGAAAACAAACTGGAAAAGCATACCAAAAAATAATTCTTAGAGCCTGTGAAAAATATAATGATTATCAGAGGGGGTACATGAGGAGGAAGGAGGGAGTGAGGGGGACAGGCAACTAGGTGCTGGCACCAGGTTCGCTGGTGGAAGGTGAGAAGCACGCACACATATGGAGCTGTGAAGTAATTGTATAATCCCAAAATACTGTTGTATAAATAACTGGCAAACCAGTAAAATTGGGGAGAAAAATCTTTCGGAAACCAAGTATGTCTTGGTGGTATCTTTTATAGTCTTTTCAAAAAAGTTAAAGGTTTCTTCAATAAAATCCACTTCAGTACATATTGTTTTACTAACTCATCTTTGAAGGCATGAGAAGTTGTAAGAATATAAAAAGGCTGAGAAGCTAAATGTTAATGATTTAAATTTTCTGGCATGTCTTATGACATGTACAACCTGTGGCATTTTCCTTGTTTAAAGCTATTTAGTACTTTGTATTTCTCGTTCATGCTTAGAGATAAGCTTTTAGTACCACAGAGAAACTTTCCACCTTCTGGATTAAGCTGATTTTTGCTAATCTTTGTCAAATGTTTAATCTACCTAATTAGTACAGGGACTTGCATAGAAATGTTTAATAAGAGTTTGCTTAATTGAATGGAACAAAAAAGTTAAACATCTATGCTACAGATTAGTGAAGTATTTAAAAGTAAAAGCCAATGAAACATATACAAAAAGTTGTTTACATTTCCCCCCACCCCCACTCTCTCTTTCTGGCAATGACCATGAAATTTAAACAAATTGGTTCTTTATATTTAGCACTAATATTTCAACTTACCAGGTATTTTCTTATAGAATGGACATGTCCTCTTTCTTATTTCTCTCATGTTATATGGCTCTGGGATTTTTGTTTTCCCTCTCCACCGCCTGCCAGGAGCTGGTATGTCTTTACTTAAATTGACTGCTTCAGATTCTGTATTAATAAGGTGACCTGACTTCTTCTGATATGCTCCTTCCTGAAGTGAATCTGACTTTTTACGTCTCTTTCTTTGATGCTGTGACCTTGGACTAGATAATTCCACAGACAGCTGACTCTCATTTAAATTCTGTGAATCGAATTCTAAATCACTTAAAGATTTTTCTGCTTTCCTCTTGCACTGCCGGGATCTCTTTTGATTTGGACTTGAGTTCACTGCTTCTAATGCACTTTTCCCTGGCATTTTCTCCTCCTTTTTCTTGGGTGGTAGTCCAAAATACACACCAATATCCATTTGTTTCATGGCCTTGGCAGACGGTTGTGCTGCATTAGAGGTAGGACTGGATGGCGGTATTTTCAAAGGCTTAGCAGCAGCAGGAGCACTAGAAAATTTCTGTGTCTTTGAAACTTTACTGTCCAGCATGCCATCTAATGCCCTTCTGCAGATATATTCTGTATTAGCATCATTCTTAGCATTGAAGTTCTTACTTGGTGATTCTCTAATTTTATTTTGGGTTGGATGGAAAGAAAGACACCCTTCTCCCTGGCTTTCAAAAGATTTTGACATTTTACTCTTAAATAAGGGAAGGGAGATCTGATTATGAGCACCTGATTCTTCAACTACCTGTTTCTGTTTATTTGACTGAGATGAGAGGAGTTCTGGCTTGTCAGCTTTTGCTTTAGCAGCTGGATAACTAGAGATAGGTCCCTCTACTAACGCAGGTGGAAACAACAAAAAATCACCATTAGAAGTTGCTGAATCATCACATATTATAATTCTCTCATTCTGGAACCTACCTGGAGATGAATCATTTAGAAGGCTGCATTTGTACAATTCTTCACTGTATTTATTGTGAGTTAAGCTGTTCACTTTGGGGCAGTTCTCTTTCTGGTCTAAGGGACCGTGGAGTTTAACTGATGTGAAGCTGTTGTCATTTTCTCCTAGGCTGCCATCTTTAGAGCTTTCTGTGAAAAACATTTCCTGTTGGGACTCAGCCAGCTCTTCATCTCCATCAAAACTTTCCTCATCACTTTGCAGTGGTGAATAGGAAATTTCACAGTTGCTTAAGTCATTTTCTGGCAATGGCAAATTTATGTGTTCTGAGCTGTTTTGGCTGCCTAATTCTTCATCAAGGAGCAAACCAACTCCTAGTTTGCCATTATTAACAAATTCTGTAAAGTGAGGAGCTTGCTGGGAGGTTTGGCTATTTGTGGAAGAGGAAATCTTTTTATTGGTTTCAGTTGGAGACTGAGAGTTTCTTAGGCACTGCGTCACTAGCAAAGCATCAGTTGAAACATTTAAGTTTTTGGTTTGTTTCTGATACAGAGACCATCCTTCCTCCGGGTTATAAGGAAAGTGGGAATTAGGCTCAGTGAAACTGTCAGCTGACCTGTGGGCTGGACTGCTGAAAGGACTATTACTAGCCCTGCTTTGAGCCAGCAGAAGGTGAGTGTATTTCTTGTAATGAGAAGGAATTGTTGAGGTACACAGAAGACCATCAGGACACTCTGAAAATTTTAATAAAGAAAAATGTGTCACAGATTCAAAGCACAGACTAAGCTTTGACAGCATTATCACTATAAATTAACTCCTAAATAGGAAGTCATCAGTCTCACATTACGGCTTTAGGACAAGTTATCTTTAAATAATTAAAGGTCAGCAAAAATAACACTAATCCAGCATGCTTTTGCAAAGTGCTGGTTATTATTTTTTAAATCAAATACTCTTAAATTTCTTTTCAATAACCTTTCTTTCCTCAAACATAACTTTTTAAGGCAAAACCTCCCTCCCCTCTACTCCTGGAATAATTCTCACAAATGAGCTCCTTCAAAATGCATATCATGTTTGCACTAAATATTTCTTAAATAGGTCCTAAAAATTGATAACACCAGTTTGACTAGTGTGCTATATTGCTCAGGCAAGAAAGTATAAAGAAAACTGGTCTATCTCACACAAAACTGAAGTTCTACCCCAGCATTTATCTTACAACCCAACAGTTTTAGGACAATTGTAGTACCAAATTCGGTTCCATTATTTTATTCATACTATACAATAATAATAATTATTATTATTAACAATTGTGTTCTGAGATTTGATATGCAATTTGACAACTGGTCAATAAGATTTTAATAATCTGGAAACTATTCCCTGTCATACTATCATGATAGAGAAACATCTTTTAACCATCTTGGCATATGCCCTTATATGCAAATCTCCAGACTTATCAAAACATGTCCCCCCCTACACGATGTTATATTAGAAAACTTCATTACTTAAAATAACTTTAAACCACATCATGGAAGTATTTGATATAGAGTGGAATTCAAATCAAGGGCAGTTCATCTGAGATTCTATTCAAAGTAGTTTAGTCAGTGAAAAACCAAAAGAAAAATCTCTTAGAGGTGGTTATATGTATGATATTTGATCCTAAGGTGCTCACCATGGGACTCCAACTTCCAGTTCTATTTTTTAGACACTTAAAAAGAAATTACTAGCTTTTGATGGGGCTTTCACTTATTGCACTTTTAGAAGAAAGGCAATACAAAATTTTTTAAAAAGTGCTTTTGCATATTCATGCAGAATTTTAAAATAGAGCTTGAGGTTAATAAAATGTCTTCTGAATCATAGTTACCATGAAAGCCATACGGAACATTATTTTTATTTTGCTGAATTTTAATTCTTTGATTTTAAAATATGTTTATGATATATATGGTAACTTTAAAATATACAAATCATCATACCAACCATTTCCATATACTCCAGGTAGGATTTTCTATATGCTAAACATGACATTTACCATATATTTTAAAGCATAATAAAAACATAGCATTACTTGTCATCTGGGAATTTTTATTATTAGAATCCTAATAACCTAAGATTATTTCCCTGTTCTTCCTGTACATTAGCATAATGAATCCAACATAACCATATTTAGAAGACTGCACTATACTCAGAATACTCTTAAAAGATAACAAAACGGTCAAGCTGTTTTCCTCTTAAGAACCCTATAAAATGTCAATTCCACTTACGAGGTCATTGTGAGTCAAGAAAATAAAAGGAAGCATCTTGAATAAGTGTTCAGTTGGCATATATGACAAATAAGATTGAGCTATGTAGGGACTTTTATGAAATAATGCATTAAATAGTTTTCAACTTTGCAATATTCTTTACCATTGTCTATTATCTTTTCACCCATCTCAAGAAGAGTGAAGTGCATGATCTTGTTACCTTCTAGGGTAAGTCATTTATATTTGTAGTGTCTCATCTCTCTTTTGGTTTATTTGGTCTACACACTTCCCTGAACTGAGACATCTGGCCTAATGCAGGTCTTTCAGATTATTAAAGACTACTATAATTTTTGTAATCTTACCTGTTTCAGAGACTGGTGGAGAATCCAAGCACTCAAAAACATGCCATCGAGGTGTCTGGCCCAGTAATGAGGAAAAAGGCATTTGGCAGTTTGGACAGTGTCCATCATAAACGGGACGTACCTTTGGAGACACTTGGTTTTTGTGAGTCTTACACCGCTTTCCAGGGGTGGTTTCCTTGTCTTGGGACTGCTGGGTACCATCTCCACAACTAGAATCCTGACTAGAAGCTACAGAAACCTCATTATCGGTGTCTCCCAAGCACACTTCTGGGTCCTTTGCCTTCTCTTTAGCTACTACAGTTCTTTTCTTACTTCTGTTTCGTTTTGATGGGTATTTTCCATCTGTTGCTTTTCCAACAGATTTTGGGATATTCTCAGAACTACTTGAAAGTACTGACTTTAGCTTTCTTTTGGATTTATATTCCCAGATGTCTTCTTCCAAAACAGTGTCTTCCAACATGGCAAAATGATTGTATCATTAAAGAAGTACTAATGTTAACTCAATTAAGAGTCTACTTGTGTTACCAAACTTTAGAACGGAATTATTTTCTGAGAAAAAGAGACAAAAGTAACAACCACAAAAAAAAAAACCAAAAAAAAAAAAAAAACCCACACTAATTTGATGATACAAAAACTCTGGTAATAAATATACTAGCAAACTACAAACTTTATACCTGAGATCACCTGAGTTCCCATTAATACTATAACAAAATTAAGAGACCCTACCACAGGATTAGCATTGGGACGGCTCTTTCTTTAGTGTCTTGGTCTTTTCCAGAACTTGATAAAAATAAGAATCAGTCATAATTTGAAAATCAAGCACTAATGGGAAGTATAGGTTCAACATCTTCATCTTAGGAGAAGCCTTGAAAAGCTGTTATAAAGCTGTCAGTTCCTTCAACTGGACCATTGTCCAAATAACTCAAACTCCAACCACATTCCCCCAAACGCTGGCTCATCAGCTGTTGTAAACACCGCAAGGCTACCTCCTTTGCCAGTAACACTAGGCACACCTAATCAAAGAGGTGTGTGATTTGCAAAATTCGTGATTGCCCTGATCTGTGACTCACAGATGTTCAACTTCATTTTCCTGGGTCATTCCAACATGTTCCTTGGGCAAACACTGCAGAGTGAACAAACAAAGTTCAAACATGGTAAGCCATAGTTGGCTGAAGCCACACGTCTAATACCGACCACACAGGTGATCTGCCTGGAGGTGCTTGTTCTCTCCCCACCACCCTGCAAACCAAGGGTCACTTGCCAGGTGCCTCTTTAGACTTAGGGGGCTGCAGGGCCAGTGAACAGAACCCAGGCCCCTTCTAGGGCAAGAAGCAGGTGAGCAGCTGGCACAGCCCGCTCCCAAGAAAGCCACCAGAGCCCTCCCCTTCTGAAGATTCAGAAGCTGGCACCCAGGGATGCCGGCGGCAGCCCACCTGCACCCACACCCCCCGGGGGCAGCTCCAGCTGCTTCCGCCCCCCCGCACCCCCCCCTCCCAGGCCGGCTGACTATAAATTCGCGCCCGCACTTTCCGCACTTCGAGCACTCCAGGGCGACACAGCACTAAAGCCCTGTCCGAGTATAAGCCAAAGCCCTGGCCAGTCACTCCCGACTCCAAAAGCCTTCTCCTCTGAGGACATCCCTACACCCTTTACCTCGAGTGTCTTGGCGGGAACAGCGTCCTGCCAGCAGTGCTGTGGCGAATCGTCTGATCCGCTCGTGGTTTAAAAGCAGAACTTTAAAAAAAAATTAAAAATCGTGTGCCCCTTTGAGGTTTACGGATTTACTGTGTTTTCCTTTTGCCCTAAAACGCGCTCATTTCCAAAACGAAGGGAGGGGGACCGGTGCTGTCAGGACTCCCAGAACGCCGCCCCCGGGGCCTCCTCCGTGTGGAATCTGCCGCCCCGAATGTGCAGGCTCCGCGGCGGCGGCGGCCTGGCGCGGGGCGGGGTGCGCGGGGACCGGCGTCTAATTACGCGCGCCACCGAGGCGGCGCTCGCCACTTTGGGGTGTGCTTGCGGGCTTACAAAAGGAAAGAGTGTCGTTAGCGTAGCGGGGGGCGGGTGGGGCGCGAGGTGCCGGCTTGAGCCCGCAGGCCAGCAGACGCGGCCCCGTCCCACTCGAGACGCGCGACAACATGGCGGCCCCCGCGGGGCGCGGCGCCGGCCTCTCGGGCCTGCTCCCCGCGCAGACCTCGCTGGAGTACGCCCTGCTCGACGCCGTCACGCCCGAGGAGAAGGACGGGCTGGTCTATCAGTATCTGCAGAAGGTGGACGGCTGGGGGCAGGACTTGGCGGTGCCCGAGTTCCCGGAAGGTGAGGGGCTGGCTCTGGGGTGGGGACCCCCGAGGAACCTCCCCTTCCTCGGGGCCGGCGCCCTCCCCGGGGCGGGGGGCGAGGCCCGTGGGGCGGCCGCGGGTGCTGGGCCGGGCCAAGCGGGGCTTGCGCGCTGTGCTGCTCCCCGGGGCCCAGAGCAGCCCCGACGGGGGTGTGAGGAGGGCAGGGACCTGCGTATTCGGGTCTTTGCCCGCTGGAGCCCGATATTAACTAAGTCGACTTTGAGTGGCTCCAGGGGGCAGTGGCTGACCTGTCAGACTGCCCAGCCCTTTCTGTTTGGTGCCCAGCATCATCACCTTCCTGCATCATCCTAGCTCTAAACATTTCAGGGTTATTGTCTTACTTAATTTTACCTGTAATTCATTGAGGTGCTCTTATTAGTCCTCCTTTACATTTGAGGAAACTGAGGCACAGGGAGGTTAAGTAATGTGCCCAGGCCCTCAGACCTCTGTCCTGCAGGGGTCTGTAAACAGAGTGCAGATTGGCCTGTTTCTTAACTGTGCAACATTTCTCTGTCCTGAAACTTTTCATTTCAAAGCGTGAAACTTGGAGATTTTAAAACCTGAGGGTTTGGAACATGAGGGAATTGATATTCCCAGTAGTGCTATTTGTGAAACACATCTTGCTGTGATAAATGAAACCGTGCTTTACCTTCTTTGGTTGGGACTAGCTTTGTTTTGCCTGGTGGTGCTGGCATGACACTGAAACCACATGTATAGTTAATTGGTTGGATGTGGCAGAGTTCAGTATCTCATGGGAGGTATATCTGACATCAGAGTCTCATCTATCTTTCCAAGTCTTGTCCCTGCCTTAAAAAATACTCTTTTCCTCATATTCATCCCACACTGAATTTGAAATGTTGGGGAATTTCTTACGAAAGAATTGGGTGCACTAGTGTTTATCCCATTAAAGAATCTTTAAGTAGTTGATATTTCCTTTTGTATTTACCAAATGTGTTGATCTTACTCCTTTCACATGCAGACTATTACAAAGCTATGAAAGAATTCAGCAACTTTTTCTTACTGTATTTATAGACTACCGCAAAATAGAAGGTTTCCATTCTTACCCCATCCCTTCCTTTGAAATTACAATGGTTCAAATTTTAATGGAAAGTTTAGGTAACTTTTCCAATTATCTTTCTCTTTTCTTTTCATTATGATAATTGATTTGTTTAAAATTCCAGGATTAGAATGGCTGAACACAGAGGAACCTATTTCTGTCTACAAGGATCTATGTGGAAAAGTAGTCATCCTTGATTTCTTTACCTACTGCTGCATAAACTGCATTCACCTATTGCCTGATCTCCACGCATTGGAACACACATACTCTGATAAAGGTATCTGCTCTATAAGTAGTCTCTAACATAGTGTGTCCTGCCATAGGCACTGGAGAGTAACTGACTCATTTGCTCATAGGAGAATGAATATTTGGTAAGACTGATTCTAAAAGAAATTTCTAACCTACAGATAAAGGTTCTGTGTAATTAGGATTAAATTAATTGAAGTTTTACTCTTAGAATGGATAAATAAGATAGTTCACCAATCGTGTAAGACTAAAGGTGAGAATAGAGTAATAATGTACAGAAATGGAAGAGATCTTGAAACTTAGTTTAAAAAAGGGGGTGATAGATTGATGTAAGGGGTTAAGTCTCAGCACTAAAGCTATCCGCAGCCACTGCAGCCACTAGTTCAATCCCCGGCCAGGGAGCTGACCCACTTGGCACAGCAGACTTCTCCTGTCTGGCCCACTGATCCCCTCAGCAGTGTATTTTAGTCAGTCTGCCTGTTCTGTTCCCCACTCTGTCTCTGCTGAATCCCCTCACCCCTCATCCCCACCTCTGACCTACACCTCAGCTCTTGTACACATAAATAAATCTTTAAAAAAAAAAGAGGGGGTGATAGATAAAATCTTCAGTGTGACTAAAATTTCAGATGCTTTTAAATTATTATAGATTGTATCTTGAAATTGTCAAACAAGAGAACAGGTATGGTTTTACTGAGTAAGAACATTCCAAGCAGAGGGAACACTGTGTCAAGCCTTGAAGCAAGGGAAATGATGACATTCTTGAGGAACTGAGGAAGACCAGGTTGTCACCACACCCTGAGGGAGGGAGAGAAGAGTATGGAGAAGATGCTGGAGAGATGAGATTTGGTTTTTATGGGAAGAATAGTGAAAAACCAATTAAGGATTTTCTGCAGGAGAGTGACATGATCAGATTTGTGCTTTTTAAAATGTATGTCCACGAACAATAAATCATCTTGTGGGTATCTCTTTGTTATTACTGGTGGCATATCTTAAGGATAAATTTCTAAAAGTGGGATTCCTAGGACAAAGTTAAATGCATATATTGTTTTGTTAGATGTTGTTAAATTCTATCTCAGTTTGTGCCAGTTTGCATTGCAACTACAGTATGTGAACTAGCAGCTTTCCCCGCTGCTGTGAAAAATGTATTGACACACTTTTTAGCTTTTACTGTTGTAATAGGTGAGAAATGGTATCTTCATTTAGTTTTGAATCATATTTTAGAGTGAGATTTAATGCCTTTCATTTGTTGATGGCTATTTATTGTAAATGGAAATTGTCTACTGCTATATCTTCTAACTATATAGTGTGCTGATTTCCCTCTAATTTATATTCTCTGCTGTTTCCCAAATATATTACTGTATTATATTACCTGCAAAGAAATTTTTTCATTCTTTGCACCGCTCTGCTTCATCCTTAAGTAGTGAGAATAGAGGGCATCTTTGCCATGTTCCTTATCTTAGTAAAGATAACTGATAGCTTTTCTCCATTAAGTAGGGAGCTGGTTTTAGGACTCAGTTATGTATATTTAGTCACTTAACAAAGTATCAAAGGACAAATTTTACTTTAAGCAAATTGTCTCTTAGTAAACCTTATAGTAAATACAAGAATCTATTTAAAAAAAAAAAAGCAAAAGCACTAAAACCAAAAGTCTGTCTCTGATTCTTCTGGGTTGGAGAACAGTGGTCACCTGATTTTGAATCTTCCACTTATATTCCCATTCCCCCACAAACATAAAAACAAAGAGAGTAAATAAAACCACATTTGATCTGCATTTAGCAATACTAGGAGACAGAATATCTTGACCTTCAAATTACCTGTAAGTTGAGAAACAAACTGAATTCCATCAAGAGTTCTGTGACTGCAAGCCTGCAGGTGCTGACAAGGACCAGGGATACTTAAGACTCCATGAGAAAAGTGGAATAGTTCAGAAGACTTGGGTGAAGCACAGAATAACCCTTATCTGCAGAAAAATTTCAACACTCAGAATACTGAACACAGGTTTCGATGCATTAGATCATGGCACCAGCTCTTGAAAGAATGTGAAACTATGAGCACAAGCCTCAATGAAGCATTTTTCTGGGGGAGAATCAGGTATAGAAGCGTGGTTTCTCTTGGAGAGATTCTACTGATGGAAAAGAAGAAAGGGTGGAAAGTTAAAGACCCTGTGGAAACAAAAGATAAAATACACACCATCTCCCACACAACATTGCTATCCAAAAATGAACCTTAACAGAAAAAGGAAACCATCAGAAAAGGGTGGTCTCAAAGTTAGGAATCACAATGTATAGCAATATTAAAAAACAGATCATACCAATTTAAAACGAAAAAGCTGGAAATAAAATTCAAAGTTGAAAATTCTCAGTCACAGAATTAATGAAAGCTATAATAGTGTTCCATATTGAATTACATAGCCTTGAACAGTATTTAGGAATAATGAAAAAGAAAAGCTTGAATTAAAATTCAAAAACTAAGAACAGAAATGGAGCATAAAAAATAAAAGGGAAGAAATAAATATTGATTGAACTCAGAAAAGAAATTGAAGGGAAAGGTCAGAATTTTATTAGTTTTATTAGAAGTAAAAACTAGGGGCCTCCCCGGTGGCACAGCAGATTGAGCACAGCGCTATGAAGCTGTCCACAGCCTCTGCAGTGCGGGTTTGATTCCCGGGGGCCAGGAAGACACTCACATGGTGTGGCAGACCTCTCCTGTCTCACCCGCTGCTCCCCTCAGCATTGTCTTCTGTCCATCTACCTGTTCTGATCCCTGCTCTGTCTCTGGTGAATCCTCTCACCTTCCCATACCTCTGACCTGTACCCCAGTTCTTATATAAAAATAAATCTTAAAAAAATAAAATAAAATCTAGATTACAAGGTGCCTTAGGAGGAACAGTAAATTTCTAAGAGTTTATGAGGTGTCTGGTCAGGGTTTTCTTCTACTATATCTTATTTGATGGGCTAGCATTCTGAATTTCTGTAAATTTTTATTTTTAACCAAATTTTGGAGGTTTGGGCATTGTTCAAATATTTTTTTCTTCCCCAATCTGTGTCCTCCCTTTTTGGGACTCCGGTTATATGTATATTATTGATCTTTGGAATACTGCTTAAGTCCATGAGGTTCACTCACACCCCCCCCCCATCTTCTTTGTGTTCTTTAGATAATTTCTCTTGAATTATCTTTAGATTCACTGACTCTTTTCTTTGTCTTCTCCCTTTTACCACTGAGTTCATTCAATAAATTTATTTCAAATATGGTATTTTTTAGTTCTAAAATATTCATTTAGTTTTTTATAGTCTATTTCTGTTTATGTTTATTATCTTTTCACTTATTTCAAATGTTTTTCTTTACCTCTTAGAGCGTAGTTATTATAGTTGCCTTAAAGTCATTACTAATTCAGACATCTCTTCATTTTGGTGTTGATATCTGTCCATTGTTCTTTTCATCAACTTAGGTCACATTACCTTGTTTTCTAAGGGTTAGGTAATTTGGGATTGTATCCTGAACCCTAGAATGTTACGATAAGCAGACTCTGGGTTCTGTAACAGTTCTCAGGAGAATATCATTCGCTTTGTTTTAATAGGAATTCAACCCTGTTCAAACTCCCATCAACTCTGTCTCTTTTGCCATCCGATAATCCTCTATTCACTAAACATTTGATATATTTTGGGGGGGGCTGTGTCACGATATGTAGTTTAGAAGTTGAGACTTTTTACTCAGAAATAGGGAATCACCTTTCCAGGTCTCCTCCCTTTAGAGTTTTTCTCATATTCTTCAATTTCCCTGGTTTTTGGACCAGAAATGTAGTGATATATCTGTTGGACTTCTGGCCACCTGCATTGCTCCAAAACTGGAGCCCATCAGTTCAGTACCATGAAAGGAGGGAAAAAAAATTAAACAGGAAACTAAGCCTCCTATGGTTTGCTTTTCCAGGTTGTGCCTCAGTACTAGTACCTGCTTTTGTTTCATTTTCTCAGTCCTCAGGCAGGTGTGTGTGTACTTACGTATGTTTTGGTTTGGAGTTAGTAGCTGTAATAGAAAGATGTTCTGTCAGGGGACTAGACCTCCTAATTTTTATTTCTTCTTTTAGGTTTGTGTAGTTTTCTTGTGATTGTATCAAAAGATTGTAATTTAAACAGTATGATTTTTGCTATGTTGTAGGCAGTATTGAGTTTTTCTTCTGAATCCAGACTCACACTCCTTACTTTTTTCCCTAAACTAACTTCTTGACATAGCTATATTGATTAGGTAAAAGAAATGTGTTGTCTTTAGTTTTTCATTTAAGCAATTCTATCTACAATAAGAGTGTTCTAAAAATTATAGAAATTTTAAATAAATCAAAAATTTTATTTAAATAAATCAAAAATCTGGAAACATTTGGCTTATATTCTTTCTGTTAATCTGTAGTATAGTTAGGTAAAAAAAAAATTTAAAGAGAATAGTATACCATTAAATACAACAAAAAAGCAGCCACAGTCACTGAATTTCAAAGGGGCTTATGCCAGGTTGAAAAAGTTACAAATTTCATCATCTTCATCTAAAAGTCTTTTCTATATTAAGATTATAATGAGTTTTAATCCTGAAATGCAACATTTTTGATCATGTGTGTTTTATGTAGTTATCAAGATTTTCATGAAGTCTAAAGTTGTTACTCTTTTTTTAATATATGTGTTTAAATGCAGTTAAGGATACTAATTTAGTTCTGTCTTTTTTCTGTTTTCATCTCTGGACTGTTTATATCTATTAATGACCCAACCCTTATATGTGGGTTGTGATATTTAAACTTTAACACTTCCTAATATTTGACTTACCATTTTTCCCATTTAGATGGTCTTCTGATTGTTGGTGTTCACTCCGCCAAGTTTCCAAATGAAAAAGTGCTGGAAAACATTAAGAGTGCTGTTCTTCGATATAACATCACCCACCCTGTGGTCAATGATGCAGATGCCAGCCTTTGGCAAGAACTTGAAGTTTCCTGCTGGCCAACTCTGGTCATACTTGGACCCCGTGGAAACATGTTGTTTTCTTTAATTGGAGAGGGACATAAAGAGAAATTATTTTTATATACTTCAATTGCTTTAAAGTATTACAAAGACAGGGGACAGATCAGAGATCATAAAATTGGAATAAAACTCTATAAAGATTCTTTGCCACCTTCACCATTGCTGTTTCCTGGCAAAGTAACGGTAGACCATGTTTCGAATCGGCTGGTAATAGCGGACACAGGGCACCATAGAATTTTGGTCGTCTGGAAGAGTGGACAGATTCAGTACAGCATTGGAGGTAATGTTTGTTTCTAATTATGATATATAAGTCTATAGAGTAAAAAAAAATAGTTCAAGGAAATGTTTTAAAATTGAAATTACAAATAAGAACTAATTGTGGAAGGGCAGTATACATTGCCTTTTAACTTTATCACAAAATTGTTTATTAATATTTGGTGTCTGGATTAATCTCTCTTCACTCCCTCAGTAAAAACAAACAAAAATACCCAAAAAGCTCCATCCAGATCAAAAGGAGATCTTTAGGTTATAATTCTTAAATATATGTGTATGTTCCCTCTTGTTCTTTAAAATATACTGCCACATATCTTATGGAAGTATTATATACACTGTATTTCAGACATTTTTAAGTGGAAGTATTGTATTTCACTTTCCATCAGAATATAACCATATAGTTTTAAAGACTAGGATAATGCCCTAGGAATTGAGATTTAGAATATATAAGATAATAATCTGGGTTTTGCACTTTATTTTACTTTTCTTCCATTGGAACTTAAATATGCTTCTGAATCCAGTCCTTTTGTGTGTAGAAAAATATAAGTATCATATGGACATAAGTCATTTTATCCATATTTCCCTGGTTTTACATCTAAAAAGCACTCTTAACAACATCTACATAATTAATAAAATCTGTTGAGTACATTGTCATTAATCCTGCTTATCCAGGCTGAACTGACATTGAACATTAGTCAGAGAAAACTAATTCACCTCTTTGCAATTCTTCTTTAGTTATGCTTACAGCATTAATACATAAAGTAGGGATAGCTGCATTCTTAAGGCGAATGAGCTAATCATATTCCCGAGCCCTTGATGCTATTCTTAGTATGCCAACATATTATCTTCTTAGCTCTCTAATGTTTTGCTTCCTCTTGTTTTTTTAGAACATGTGTGTTTAATGTTGTTTATTTTGTTTTGACTATTTGGTATTTTGGTTTATGACAGCAGTTATGAGAATTGTTACCAAAAAAAAAATCTGTTCTAGCATGTTGATTTTAAATGGTTAAAGGAATAGATGAATATTCTCAGTTGTTAAACAGAAACCAGCAGCAAGCTTCCTTTCCTAAACATTTCTAGGAATACTATCACCTTGTGATAAATTAATAATTCTTCTATAGTTTTTTAAAAAAGATTTCTATATTTAGATGCTCTCAGGAAATACTCATTTGATATGGTTTAACAAACTTGTGTGGGTGATAGTGTCACTGTACATCAGAGATGTGATGTGCTGATCTCATGATTGTGCAAGAGGGGGCTCTAGCGCACAATGTTTTCAAACCTGAACTGACCACAGGGAATGTTCACCAACATTCAACAGTATTATGACTACTAATAGCAAGCACATCTACTCCTGGCATTATTCTAAGCACTTTACCCATCTTAATTATTTTCATTTTCACAATGCTGCCAGCTAGGTATAATATTAGTTCATTTTACAGAAGAGAAACTGAGAAACAAAGAACTTGCACAAATCATCAGCCTGAAGATCTGGGATTTAAACCAAATCCGTTGGAATCTTGAGTTCATGTTCTGAAAACCACTACGTAAAGAATGTCTTACTAACATCTGGGACAGTGGAATTCTGTCCAACATAGTTCGGGCGTGCTAACTCAGAGGCTTTGAATGGCTTGCTCTGGTCACAGAAATAAGTTATATTTTGTCACTCTATTTCTCTTTTAAGGTAGCATACTACAGAACTTTGTGGCAAAGTGAAATAGTAAATATGAAGGACTCTTAATCATGGACTGTTAAGAAATGCTTGATCTAGGAATCCCTTTAAATTGTTTTAATACTTTATGGGCATGCGTATTTTTCAAAGAAAGAGTTTCTGATTTACATTGTATTTTAGTATGTTTTCCAAAACTGTTAAAAATCTTCTAGATACTAAAAGATTAAAATTGTTTTTAACCTTCTAGTTTAGGTAATAGTAATTAAAAGGAAAGTTTCTTCTTCAAACATGTGCTTCTGTACATAAGTATACTAGTAACCATTATATGGTATGTCTTGTCATTAGCAAAACCCACTTTTAAGAAAAACAGGTATCTTGAGAAACATTTTAGTTTTTAAGTGAAAGTATACTGTTACATTAATAACTCAGATTTAAGTGAAAGTTTTTAAGTGAAAGTATACTGTTACATTAATAACTCAGATTTAAATAAAATTCTATTTTACTTTATTTTGGGATTTACTTTGAACTTAACCTTGGAGGTGGAAAACTGGTCTTAAGGTTATCTTGTTTTTTAGGGCCCAATCCTGGAAGAAGAGATGGACTATTTTCAGAGTCAACTTTTAATTCACCACAGGGTGTAGCCATAATGAATAATATCATATATGTGGCAGATACTGAAAATCACCTTATAAGAAAGGTAATTTTTCATTTTAAAAATGTTTTGATAGTTTTAATCAGAAAAACTGATATTTGCTACATTAAATATTTGTAGCTACAGAGTATAAATACCTCAAAACATCCTTATTCAGATTTTTTTAAAGGTACTTGTTCTAGATTTATTTTTAGGTATCTTCTTGTCATGGGGGAGAAGCTCATTAAATCTTTTAAATCCTTTGTTTTAAAACATGTCTGATTTCCCAAAAGCACCTCACTTTGAGCTGTTTTCCTAATCGTTACTTACGAAATGATGTTTTGTCCTTAAAACTAGAAAAGAAATCATGATATTCCTACCTCCCTTTGTCTTATGCTTTGTTTGGATGTACCATTAATCGTATTAAAATTAGTTTTGCTTCATTATTAAAGTAGTATCTTTTTTTAAAGAAATGAATTAATACATAAAAGTGTCTTGATTATGTGTTCCAGCATTCCAGAAGTAACCAACCTTGTTAAAACTTTGCTTTTTATATGAACAGAAATTTTTTATTCATATACAAATTTATAAAAAGATTGTCTATAGAATGTTCTTTTAAGCAAATAAAATCATACTGTGCACACTTAATCTTTTGTCGTCTTATATTAACTTTTTTCATTCATCACATGAATGATGTAACTACAGAGTATTGCATTGTAGGAGTACCGAGTTGTTTTAATGTCCTTTATTGATGAATATTTTGGCTGTAATCCACTGGGCTTTAAGTTGTCATCTGTTTATAAGATAAGTAAGTTCAACTGACCCATCCTGCCTAAACATATTGTTTCAAAAACTTCCATAGTTTTCTTACTGTTTCTTTCTATATTGATATTTATGCCTATTCGGCTATATTACTAATATACATATAACAGGAAAAATATATACAGAACGTATATTAATATCTGCTGTAATGTAGATCTACATAAGAGAGTGAAATTTGTTCTATTTATAGCTAAAATCCTTCACCCTGAGAACCAGGCCTGGCTCTCCATGTTTACTATATATTTGTTGAGTTAATTTATGAGCAAATAATTTCTGTTTAAATGAAGCATTTCTAAAATGTATATTCCTCTTAATACCAAAAAAAAAAGAAAAAAGAAAAACATGAAAAAAAAGAATTTTGTGGATTTATAAACTAAAGCAGATTGATTTTTTGAAAGTCTTGAAGACTTTCTTCTTGGTAATTTTAATATGCTTAACATATTGTGAATTCATTAGTAGGGGGATATGTGTGCAGTATTCATGACTTAATTTGACCAAGGAGCTCTCTTTAGGGAGAACTTTTCATAAGACTAGTGATTTCATGGTTTGTTATTTGGGAAAAAGTAGCTTACTGTTACTAAGTCCTTAAAGTTAGTTACTAAGTCCATTATCATTTGGGGGGTCTGCATTTACATTCCTAATTCACCATAGTCTCAGAGACATCTAACAGAATATCCAAGTAGTAAGATACTTGGCCTCCTATGTGACAGGAAGTACTTGTCCTTTCTTAATTGTTCATTCTTTATTTTACTCTCTAACTTAATGGGTTTCAGAGTATTGATTGCATTTCAAGTAGCATCATCACAACAAATTCAGGTTACCAGAAGTTACTTTATATTACATGACTGACTTCAGTATTTGTGAAAAACAGAAAGCGAGGTGGAATTTGTCTTTCTCTCAAAAACGTAGACATGTATTGTGTTTTACTTTCATCTAGGACCTTATTTGCAGAGGGCTGATCATACTTCTACATTCACAGTTCACAAATGTTATTTTTCCATGCAACCCTATCTTTAGAATCATTTATAATAAATTTATAAATTCCTCTTCATCCCCATTCCCATTCCACTTGCCAGTCCCCTTACTTAAGCACACCTGCAGACATCCATTCTGATGTTTAATTCATATTGTATATAACCTTTTAAAAAAAAAAGTTGTGTATGTTTTTAACATTATTGTGATATATCTTACATTTCATCAAAAATGCATCCATATCAAATATATAATTCAACAATTGTTAGCAAATTTAACAACTTACGCAAAAATAATCATTGTTTTTAGAATAATTTCCTCCTCTCCCTCAAGGGAGGTGGGTGAGAGGAAAGTGGGGGAATAGGTGGAGAAATGAAAAGTACTGTGTATTAAGCATTTTAATAATAATTCACCCTATACCTAATGAGCTGTTAAAAAACACTTTTATTTAAAAATAAGTATTTGTGTTGCAAATACTTTCTACCTGTTCTATTGGGAATCTTCACATACCAAGAGAAAAAAAACAGTAACATTAAACATTAATTTCTACAGATAGACCTAAAAACAGAAATGGTGAGCACCGTAGCTGGCGTTGGAATTCAAGGTACAGATAAAGAAGGTGGCGCTAAAGGAGAAGAACAGCCCATTAGTTCTCCTTGGGATGTGGTTTTTGGAACATCAGGTGTGTAAAATTTTTTTTACAATGCAGTATTACAGCACCCAGACTGTCCGTACTTCCCTGTGACTTGTTATTTTCTAGCTGAGAGTTTGTGCTGCTTCTCCTCTTATTTCAGCACCCTCCCTTCCGTTAGGAACCACCAGTCTGTTCTTTACAACCATGAACTCAGGTCTGTTGTTTATTTGGGGTTTTTTGTTTTGTTTTTATATTCCACATATAAGTGAGATTATATGACACTTGTCTGACTTATTTCACTCAGCAGAAAGCCCTCAGGGTCCACCCATATTGTTACAGATGTCACAAATGATAAAATTTTCTTCTTTTTTTTTATGGTTGAATAATTTTCGTGTTTGTGTATGTACGTGTATGTGTGTACATACCACATTTTCTTCATCCATTTATGTCCATGGATACTTAGGTTTCTTCCCTGTCTTGGCCATTGTTAATACTGCACTGATCTTGGGGGTGCCTATATCTTTTCAAGTTAAAATTTCATCTTCTTTCTATAAATACGTAGAAGTGGAGTTGCTGGATCACATAGCATTCTGTTTTTAATTTTGTGAGGAATTTCCTTACTATTTTCTATAGTGGTGCACCAAGTGACATTCCCAGCAGTGATGCACAAGAGAGTTCCCTTCTGCACATCCTCACCAGCGCTTGTTATTTCTTGTCTTTTGTACGATATACTAGCAGGTGTGATGTGATAACGCATGTGGTTTGATTTGCATTTCCCTGATGATTAGTGATGTTGAGCACCTTTTTGTGTACCTGTTAGCCATCTGTGTGTCTTCTTTATAAATATGCATATTCTTTTGGTAAAAGACAGGAGTGCAAAAGAGTAATAAGCTCACTTACACACATTTTAAGTCTTTGTTCAGGTCATATCTACTTACTGTTATTAAAGCAACTCACATAACTAAACTCCCAAGTCATGGGGCAGGAATATGTACTTTGCCTGCACTGAGGCTGTGGCAAGGGTGTGGATGTCTGATACTACAAGAGGATCAAGACTAGTGTGCACTTCAGCCTGTCGCTTATATCAGAATTTATACTGCAAAGCAGGATGTACTTTACTGAATGCATTACCAATTTGGATTGATTTAATGACCACAAGCTACTTAAATATTTTTGTAGGCTAAAATTCTTTCAGTCATAGTTTATGGCATGGAATTTCTGATGGTTCCTCTCATACTGAGAATGTACCCAAATTGCTTTCCAAGGAAAATCTTGGCTCTATTGACAAATCCTCTGTCAATAGCTGAGACTTATTTGTGTTTTTATTGCGTTCAGTTTTTGAAAGGAAGTGTCTCCTACCTTAGCTCAACAGATCATTAAAACCATATGGCTCTACCTTAAACTTACAGCTTAAAATAGCATCATTTGGTATTTGGCAAGAAGAATAATCTTGAGTGCACTTAAGCTCAATACCTTTCAAAATACTGGTTTTAAAAAATGGTTTTAAGCACTGTGTAAAGGACTATAATCACTGTGACTACTCTAGTGCAAGAGCGTTTACCCTTAAATTCTATACTCAAGGTGTTCTTGGTAGGGCTTCCTGAGGTACCTACACTGTCCAGAAATTCTATCTAAATTTGGAAAATTGGTCAGATTCTCTCAGGATTTCACAGTGCTATGTTACTCTGAGGTCTAATCCCGAATTAATGTATGTTGTCAGAATACGGAGAAATTGGCTCTGAAAATACTGGTCTTCTTAAAATTGTTTTTACTAAACTATATTTTGGCATCATGTCATTCATTTAAAAAATTTCAACTCAAATATATTTTATTTTCACTTATATTCGTGTGTATATGTAGTTCATCTTATTTATTCCATCAAAACAATGCTGTTGCTTTTACTGTGAGGATTTGTTGGTAGTTTCAGGATTTATCGTAAAAATGACCTTTGATTATGTGCTGAAGAAATTTTTTCTACTCTTGTAATACAGATAATCATACTTTTCCCTCAATATTGGATTTGTTATTAAGCTGGATAAATTAAATATCATCTCCGATTTTCTTTACATTGTTGTGTTGATTGCTAGGAAACTTAGAGACAAATGTATCATTAGCAAGTTATACTAGATGACATGATATTTTTATTTTTAATTTTCTTTTTTTAAATTTATTTGTGTTACTAAGTTTTATTTCTTTGAAACCTATTTAATTCATTTATGATACGACAGAAGTGAATTAATACAGTAGAACCCTTTACTGAAGTGATTGGTATGATAATTGATCCATATAGAGAAAAAAACTGTTAATCTGGGAATCATAAAACTAAAAATGCCTTTTAATTTAAGAATTATGAATGTGTATTTTTAAGCCAATCTTTTGATCTAGGACTAAAATCTTTCTTCAAGTGGTCCAAGAGTCTTGTACCACTCAAAATATATTGTTATAGTTTCCTTAAAGTATGATGAGAATTTTAAAACACATGCAAAGAAATCCGAGGGCAAATTTTTTTTAACTCTGTTCTTTCCAGTTTTCTTTCCACACCTAATTCAGCAACTGTTTGACTTAGCTATTTGGCCTTATTGAATCTTTTCCAATTCAACTATGTTTTCATAGAAACAATTTCCTCTTTGCAGTCTTATTGCATTGGGAGGCAGGAATGCTCCACCGAACCACCAATGCATTGAATAAATTGGTTCACATATATTTAAAGCATAAATTTATACAACTGACTTAAACACATGTGGGAATAAACACAACTTGAAAGGGCTATGGCTGAGAAAAAGTGTTCTTTTAAATGAAGTTTTCTAATGAAGAATTTTATCATATATTTCTGAAATTCTATCTATACTTAGGAATTTGAGAGAGGATAAAATTATCAGGAGAAAAACATGAAAAATTGATTAGTTATTATGATATCTTTATACTTTAGGCTACTCTATAGAGAGCAAATAATGGACCACAGCAATAACTAGCAGCATGGACAAGTATCATAAGGTGCCTTCGAGTGGAAAAAAGCAAGTTACAAAAGAGACCTACTATATGAGTTTTCTTTTAAAGAAAGCTCTGTAGCAAACGACAAACTATACATTGAGAGATCAACCCAGACATTTTAAAATTAAAAAGAAGGAAATAAAAGCCACAATTTTTAGACTAGTGTTTCCTTCTGGGGAGAGGAGGTGGGTATGATCGTAGAGGGTGCATGAGATTTTCCAATAAATGTTCTTTCTTGATCTCAGCAATGTGCACATGGACCTTTAGTTATTTTCAAGTTTTACATATAACATGTATCCATGTATGCATATATAATTAAAAATTAAACCTTAAAATGAAACAGCATGGGTTGGGGGGGAAAAATGAAAAGTAACAAGGACAAGTACATAATTGAATATATACCCTACCGTGGAACCCTGTTAATAAACCATATCCTTCAAAAAGAGATTACAGAAAGGAACTTGAATATCACTGATTTTGTTAAAAAATAAACTTGTAACGCGTAAGTGTATATATGTATTATATTTAAATAGTGCCTGAAAATTTAACCAAATTATGCCATTACAGTGATAAAAGTATACAAAGTGATTTTTACAAAAATGACTTTCATCTTTGCTTATTTTTGATTATCACTGTAGATATGGTCAGAACTTAATAATGCACTGAAAATAATTACTAGCTATAATAAATTCAGTTTTTCAACAGAAACTTTACCATGTTTCTGAAATGCATATCGGGTCTGTATGAACTGTGCTCAAGCCAGGTAATAACCTCAGAGATTTTTTTGTCATAAAGGTCAAAACCCCTGCTAGTCTATAAGTACTTTAGACTTTACCTGATTTAGAATCATTTCTAAAAGAATGGATAATGCACCCAAATCACATTAACCTTCCATGGCTCTTTAATCAGCATTTTCCCTAGATAGAAATTTAACTGTTCGCATTCTTTTCTTTAATGGTTGAAATCCAGGTACATATGTGCTTAGGTAATACACTTCTCTGCTCCCAGTAATATGCTATAAAATACCAGAAAGATATTTACTCTCTAAATATAATCAAATGATATGTATTTTTGGAGGAATACATTTTATACAGTATGACTAGTGTTTTTGTTTTGTTAAAATAAAAAATGTATTTTTGCATCTAAAATTTGATTTTTTACACTATCTTACCATACTGAGTTGGTGTTAAGTTTTTTTAACATGTTAATAAGGTTTAATTTACACAAAATAACATTCATCTTTATTAGGTATAAGTTCTATGAATTTGAACCAACAACTGTAATCTTACAACCATTACTGTAATCAAGGTATAGAACATTTGATTCACCCAGTCAAATGATTCTTTCTCATAACGCTTTTCACTTCCTTTCTATCACCTTCAACACCCGCCAGACACTGGCAATAAGGATCTGTTTCTTGTTCCTCAGTACTGTTTGGTCTCTTGTATCTGATATTTTTAATTTAGTATAATACTTTTGAGATTCATCTATGGTGCATGGATGGTTGCATGTCTCAGTAGTTCTTTTTGTATGAGACCATAAAACTGTTTCCAAAGTGACTGTTACTTTCAAATCCCAGGTGTCTGTATGGAATCAGACAGATGCTGATTCCAGAATCAGGTTCTGCTTCTGCCTAGAGAATTTCCTTCAACATTTTGTTTATAGCCCAGGTCTGCTGACAAAGATGTCTGGATTGACTTTTTTTCCTTTTGATATTTTAAAGATGTCACTCCAGTGCATGTGAATGTGTTTCAGTTCTCTTCCTTGGTCCTTTCTATGTAAAGTGTGCTTTTTCTCTGGCTGCCTTCAGGGTTTTCTCTTTGGTTTTCAACAGTGTGATATGTCTAGGAGGTCTTTTGGTTTTGGTTTTTGTTTGTTTTTATGTGTGTTTTCTCTTTTTTTATTATCTACCAGACATCTTGGGTTAGAGCTTTAGAGCTAAAATAAATAGTATTTATGCCATTATCATGGGAGGTTGAGTCAACTCATCAGAAGCTGGGCTGGTTATGTATTCTATGTTGTGTTTTTTGTTGTTGCTGTTGTTGTGTTTTTTTGCTGTGGTTGTCTGTTCACCACAGCTCTAGCAGTGGGCTGCTGTTGCCTTATGGTGTTACTGTAGTGTGGGGTCTTAGATGCTGGAGAGTTTTTCTGTGTTAGTATTCCACCCACAACTCTGTCATCCCTGCAGAGCCAAGCCAGAGTGGGTCTCTCTCTACACTCCTGCAGCACCTCCCGCAACCCCCCTGTATAGACTGTTCCTATTTGTTACTCAGTATTAGACTTGGGGGAAGGGTGTTCTTTGTTGTTTGGTCAGCTTGTCTCAGGGAAATGGTGTGCCTGGGCCTCCATGAAAGGAGATCAGGGGCTCTTCCTTGTACCTGTCCTTTTTTTCTCTGGCAACTAACCCACTATGAGTGGTGTGAGGGGTTACCCACTTCTCCCACCCCAAACCCCTAGGAGAAATCTCTCTAGAGTTTACATTCACAAACTCGTCTCTGCCCTCCCCCAGAGATAGAGAAATTTTCTCTTTTCCCCTGCTTCAGCAGTCATTGCTCTTTCCGTGTACCCTGGGGGTGACGGACTTGCTTCTTTTCCCTGGCGTCACAAGGCCTTGCTTCATATGAGGTTTAGAGAATGTGTAGGAAAAAAAACTGTTTACTCGAAGGGAAAAGTTCACAGAGGCTCTTAAGAGGGTTCTAATCAGTGGGATCTACTTTGAACATAGTGTCTTAAAATAACAGAATTTTTAAAAGCTGGATTGCAGGTAATTTTCCTTTATATTTCACTTACTGATTTTATTCCTCTTTCCTGAAACTCTTTCACTAATATTTATTGATAATTATGAGGGATTTTGTCTCTTAAAATACTCTTAAGTGCCTCCCTGGTGGCACAAGGGGTTAAGACACAACCTACGAAGCTATCCGCAGCCATTGCAGCACCAGTTCGATCCCCAGCTGGCCAGGGAGCAACCCATATGGCGAAGCAGACCTCTCCTGTCCTGCCCACTGCTCCCCTCAGCAGTGTATTTCAGTCAGTCTGCCTGTTCTGTTCCCCACTCTGTCTCTGGTGAATCCTCTCACCCCCCACTCCTCTGGTCTGTACCCCAGCTCTTGTATACATAAATAAATAAATCTTTTTAAAAAATACTCTTAAAAGCTTTTTAGCTTTAGCATTTTCTTTTTTTGTTGTTTGTTTTTAATTTGTGACTTTGGAAAATCAGTGATACTAAGTGCACTCTTAATTTAAAATTGAAATGTTTTGATTGCATTCTTGTTAAAACAAAACTAATACCCATACTCAGTGATAGAACTGTGTGCTTTAGAGCTCAAAATCCAGGATGAACAGTATAAATTATTAAATGACTCTATTGTTAGTTTGAGAGACATTATAAATGCTGGATGACCTTTAAGAAAAAAACTCTTATTTGCAAGAACAAAGTCTTCAGCCCTCAGTGAAATTATCGGGCAGGGTGAACACTTCCTGAGAGGGTATAGCATGATAGTTAGGAGCATCAGCTCTGGAGCCAGACCATGTGGGTCCTAGTTTCACGTCTTAGTAACGGTGTGACTTTGGACAGTTCTGGGGCTTCTTCTGTCTGAGTTCCCTTATCTAAATTGAAGACATTAATAGTACCTCCCTTAAAGGTTTATCTGAAGAATTATGAGAAACAGCATAAGTAAAACACCTAGAGTGCTTGTATGTGTTTGCTGTTGCGTAGACATTCATCCTAAAAGTTGCAAAAAGGTGTTGGTAAGCTGAACCAAACCAAAAATGGAAGGGCAAAGATTCTAGAGGCCACAGGGAGAGAAGGGCAGGAGAGAGCCTAGTTACACAACCTGGAGTAGAAAGGCATACTTCCATTGGATCAGATCATGTGAGATGCCCGTGAGTGCTTGATGCCAGAGCTAAGTGATGGGGCAGAGACAGAGGAGAAGAGAATAGACCAGAAGAGCACAGGCTCATTTCCATAATCCATTCTTACCAGAACACTGATTATCTTAAGATCTCACTGAGGAAGTCACATTCCAGGCTTAGCTGTATGAATTTTCAGCAAGTTATTTAACCTCTTTGAACTTGTTTCTTTCTAAAATTTATAAATGATAATAAGGCTTCTTAAGGTTGTTAAGTTAAAAGAAATGATCATTGCAGAGTGCTTATTCACTAAGTGCCTTAAATATAGAAAGTGTTCTGGATGGCTGTTTTCACTACCACCACCCCGTCCTCACCATTTGGTATGTAGAACCCAAACACCTGAGTCATGACCTGATCACCCTCTTCTTCCACACTCTTTCACTTTCCTCAGACTTCTTAAGACCAAATAGATGTTCACACTTTATTACTAAAAAACTTTTGCCTTCATCTACTAGAATGAGACTGGTCTACTTAGCGAACTAGAAAATGGAGACCTGATTTGATCTTTCACTCAGACACGTACCAACACAGCTCTCCTTTGGCAAAGTAGAGGCTTTAAAATGTTGTTTTCTAATAATTACAGTTTTGTTTCTAATCTTTATGTTTCTTGCTTCTCCTTCTTGTTGCATAAATTAGGACATTCATATGATCCTAAATAAAAGTGTTGCTAGCCTATGTCCTTGTCTCATTTCTGTTCTCAGGGAGAATGTCTTGGTCAGCTCCGGCTGCCATAACAAAATACCACAGATGGGTGGCTTAAACAACAGAAATTTATTTTCTCACAGTTCTGGAGGCTAGAAGTCCAAGGTCAAGGTGCCAGCGTGGTTGGTTTCTGGTGAGAGTTCCCTTCTGGCTTACAGTCACCCTCACATAGTGTCCTCATATGATGGGGGCAAAATAAAATAATTATGGAAAGCTTTTGATCTAGTTTAATGGTTAAGCAGAGACTGAGTCCCTAAAACATAAGGATGTCATTGTCACTTTTAATATAATTTATGTTTATAGAAATATTTGAAAAATTAGTGATTTAGATTTCATAGGCTAGCTGTTAAGAATACAGAGAGAGGCAATGTGTTGAGCTAGGAATTTCTGTTTGACTGCCTAGGTTCAGACTCCAGTTCCTTCATTTACTAGCTCTGTGATGCTGGCAACTTACCTAACCTCTCTAAGCCTCAGTTCCTCCTCTGTAAAATGTTCCTCATCAAGAGTTCCTCATCAAGGGACTCTTGAGAAAATTTAAGTGATAATCTCTATAAAGTGCTTGACACATAACCACAACTGATTGAAAACCCTATCATTTTTGTTGTTAGATTGAAAAACAAATGAAAGCAGTACAAATTAGGGAAGAAAAGATATGCCTAGATACAGACTACTTGAAGTTAAAGAGAATACAAACAAAAATTTTATTTTATTTGGTCAGCATATGTCTGACCAAAATATTTTAGATAAAATGTCTCTATTATATGTGAAGGTAGTATCAGAATATAGTTTAAATAAAAATAATTAAATATTTTACAGTAGATTTAATTTGAAAGTAGACCTTTGTCACATCGTAGCAAGTTGCAACTTCAGTCTAAACAATAGATGATTTATCATTAATTCAAGTAAATAGTTATTTGTAACAAATTGTACTCTTAGCTTTTTTTGCATGTCAACTATATCTTTGGAAAAAGTATCACAACCAATTAAATAGTGGATTTTTAAATAGATATTTGATGTGTGTCTAAGTCTAGAAGTGAATGCTGTGGCAGAAGTACACCTTTCTTAAACTATTAGAGCTACAGTTTTTTCATGAGAAATTGTTCAGAGAACCTGTTACAGAAGCATATCACTGAGGTGGTTGGTGCCAGTGCTTGAATGGCAGGTTCCTTTGGAGATGAGGTGTAACCCATTTCTTCTATCACATAAAGTGAGAAACTCCATGTTGAAAGATACTGTACCCAGAGAGGCAGAAGGACATATAGCTATTAAGAATATTTTTTATCTCTGTGAAATCATTACAGGTAAATTTTTAAGTTGAAAAAAGAATAAAAATTTCATAAGGAAAATGAAAAATTTTCTAAAACAACTTTAAATATTGTGAATCATTTTATTTTCTTCTACCAAATAATTTATAAATATGCTACTGTCTTCCTTAATTTAAATTTCTGAAAGTGTTTGCAGTGTTCTCTATCACTGAGAAAATAATTGCTATTTATTTTTTATAAAGGTACAGAGGTTCAAAGAGAGGATATTCTCTGGATAGCCATGGCAGGGACACATCAGATCTGGGCCCTCCTGCTGGATAGCTGTAGACTACCAAAGAAGAAGTAAGTGGCGGTATCTCTGGGTAAACTGCACTATTTTGGAAAGTGCAGTTTCTAAGTCGTCATCCTGGCAATGTCCACTGACTACTCAGGTGTGCTTGACTGTTCTACCGTAACAAACGACCCAGGTTCTCAGCGGCTTAAAATAAGGTTTGTTTCTTGCTCACTCATGTAGTTTCACTGGGGAGCACTGCTCTGGCACCCAGGCTGATGAAGCAGCCACCATCTGGAGCTTTGCCAGTCATCCTGGCAGAGAGAGAAGGGTGGTGAGATGCTCACAGACTCTTAAAGCTTCTACTGAGAAGTGACTCACATCACTTCTGCTTAGATTTCATCAGCCACAGTGTCTCACGGCCACACCTGTCCTTAAGGAACCTGGGGGTAGCAGTCCCACTGAGTGCCCAGAAAGAAAACTGGAAATGTTGGGTGGGCACTTATCTTTTAACACATCATCCAAATATCTCCAACATTCAAATATTTAAGTACTGCATAGCAGTTTAATTAGTAGCTCAGGCTCTGTAGTCAGACCAGAGATAGAATCCTGGTTCTCCCACCTACTATCTGCATGAGCTTAGGAGAGTCACTTTAATTGAATCTTAGTTTCTTTATACACCTCATATGCTTGTTTTGAGAATGAATATTACAATGAAGAGTACAGCCTACATTTACACAGTGAATGTGCTTTGTTGCCACTGGTGGCAACATGAGAATGTAACAGATTCTTTACCTATGAACTTTTCTCTGTAGTGAGTTAAAGAAAGGAACCTGCCTTCGGTTTGCTGGAAGTGGAAATGAAGAGAATCGAAATAATGCATATCCTCACAAGGCAGGGTTTGCCCAACCTTCAGGTCTTTCTCTGGCCTCAGAAGATCCCTGGAACTGCCTGTTTGTAGCAGATAGTGAGAGCAGTACAGTGAGAACCGTCTCACTGAAAGATGGAGCAGTGAAGCACCTTGTAGGAGGAGAAAGAGACCCTATGGTAATGAAAATCCCTTTATCCTGTGTGTCCAGACACTTTTCCAACTTGCAGTTTTCTGAATTAGGAGTTAATAAAATTTAGGAGTGTTCTTAATTCATAAGTTAAAATGTGTCAAACCAAAGGAAATGTGAACATAAAGAAACACAAGTAACAGAACTATCTAAAGAAAATTAAACTGACTCTACTTGATTATAATAAATGTCAAGGCTTCAGGGGGGAAGGGAGGATGAAATACTACTGAGAGAAGAGAAAATGTACATTAGATATTTAATGGCAATGTGGTAGAAAGAGCACCACTGAGTCAGCTTGGCCTGTTCTGAGCAGGTGTTTGATTAGTGCTTATAAAGCTGATGCCATGAACTAATACATGTAAAATTCCATCTTTTTTTCCTATTCTGAATCAAGTGCCCAGCCCTATTCACATGAAATCACATCTTTCACCCCTGCACTTAAGTAGCATATACAGCCATCTTAATTTTCACTTTCTTCCCTAATAAAGTGCTATAAAATTTTTAATACATCCTATTTCTTTTTTTTTTAAACAAAAATAAAAGAATTTATTTGCTTTTGGTGATGTTGATGGAGCAGGAATCAGTGCAAAGCTGCAGCACCCACTGGGAGTAACTTGGGACAAGAAAAGGAATTTACTCTATGTGGCAGACTCTTACAATCACAAGGTGAGTCTTGACAGAATTACATAATACCCTGCTTTTCATCTGTGGTATTTCAAATGCTGACAAATGTGTGAGCCTCCTACAACTACCACTTTAAAATACAGAGAGGAATAACAATCTCTGACAACTCTATATAAGCCTGTTCTGTTCTTGTCTTGGCCCTTTCTTTGCAAAGAATCTGATGGTACCCTGAGCTAGGCAAAGGACTGAACACATTCCTAATGACTGTAACCACAGGTTGTGCTTTGTAGCTCAGCAGTGCTACTTGGCTATACATCCAGTGAATAAGGGAAGGGGGGCAGCAGGGAAATTAATATGTCAACTAACAAATGAGTATTTTTGAGCTATGGCAGTGCCTGTTAGCAAATAATTCCATTTTCAGCAGCATTTCCATTCTTGTCTCTGTTGGACTGACTATTCAACTGTTTCCATTTTTACTGCATTTTTTTTCTTTGATAATAATGGGAAATGTTAATACTTTGTAATAAGAGACCATAAATTTAATATAATTGAGACTCAAGTCAGAATCATTAAGTTAAACAACATAAGCAGCAAATCCTCAGCTGATATTAGGTGCTATTGAGAAGAAAGGCAGTTCTCACACACCATGGAGGTGTGTCCCATTGTGGAAAAAATAAAATTAAAAAAAATGTTAATTCCAAAAATAATTTCATCAAAGATGGCTTCTAGAAAATAAGGTACAACTAGGGATTTTACAGCTTTTAGTGCTTAGATTTCTCCCCTTAGACTGTAATTGAATGTTTGTTTTTTTAAGAAAATATGGTTATTCTTTTCCTGAAATTTATTAAGAATACGAAATTCTCTAGCTTACTTGATACTATACTTTCTTGCATATGAGATTAATCTTCAAATATATACATTTTTGTTCTTATTTAGGTTAAAGTTGTGGATGCAAAAACAAAAAACTGTACAACATTAGCAGGAACTGGAGATGCAAGTAATGTTATCAGTTCCAGTTTTACTGAGTCAACTTTCAATGAGCCAGGAGGCTTGTGTATTGGAGAGAATGGTCGATTATTATATGTAGCTGACACCAATAATCATGAAATTAAAGTGATGGATTTAGAAACAAAAACAATATCTGTGGTAAGTGCAAGTTAGAAGCTGTCATTTTGAGAATGATCCTGAGCCCCCACAGCACGTACAGGCATTTTGGGTTCGACCATCTATAGCAGTGAGAAAGAAACATATAGGTAGGGCAGAAAGTAAATGCCCACTTCAGAGATATCTTATTTTCTAAAGAAAATCTTTCATTTGTGTTAAGAATTTGAGAAAGACACTGGAAACTAGAAAGAATTTGATGAACTTTCAGGGGGGAAAAAGGCCTCAGAACTGTTAAACGTCCCACTGGACATACAGAGTGCGCCTCCTGAGGCGGTACCCTGTGGTTTCTGTGTGTTCTTGGTCTTTTTTTTTAATGATCCTTAGATTAATATGTCAGCTTTGTTTCCTGTGATTCATCCATTGCCAAATAATCTTTCAAAGGAAGCTCATTTCTCTGTACATTGAAGAGCTCTAGTTAATTTTTAAAGATACAGACATGATGTCAAGAAGAATTTTCATGCTACCTCTTGATGTATTGCATTTGCCTATCCCCTAAAATTCTAGGAATTTTCCCAGGTATATTTTAAACAAAAATACAGTGTTCTCATAACATAACTGTTACTCGTCCTGATATCAACTGCTAATATAAGATGGTCTTATAGTTAGCAATGAAAATTATAAAAGGATGTATAATATAACCACTGTATTTAAATTGGTAAAGTTTTGCTCTAATTTCCTGCCATCTATATAAACATTATAAGACAGTTTTCATCCTTAAGTGTTGGTAATCTTTTGCCTAGATGAAACATTTTCCTAAACCCGCAAGATAATCATGAGAACATTTAAGTAAACACATTCTACTTGAGACTAGAATTACGATTATGCTTCATTGACATAGAACCTCATTTTTTCTACTGAGGCCTAAAAATAAGCTCTCTCACAAGTACTGTGAAGTATTTGTGCTTTAATAAACAGGTTTTTTTATTTCCTAGTTCCCAGTCTTCCAATCTGAAAATGCTGTGGTAGATGGCCCATTACCAGTGGAAAAACAGAAGATGCTGCCCAAGCTGCCTAAATCAGCACCTGTCATTAATCTTGCCTTAGTGGCTGTATCTCCAGGCCAGACTCTTCAGTTCAAGTTAAGATTAGACCTCCCCTCAGGAACAAAGCTAACCGAAGGAGTATCCAGTTGCTGGTTTCTAAGTGCTGAAGGTATGAGAGTAATCTTGCACATGCAAATATTCCATAAATTCTTGACGTTTTAATCGAATATTTTTCCTTACTTGTTATGTAGTATTTTTATTCTGTAGTTGGACAGCATTTGATGGAAGTTATGTGAAAAAAATAGATCCAGATATAGCCTTTTACTTCCTTTTATTAAGGAATAATACAAACTCAAGAGTTGATCATCATTGTCCCCATTTACCACCAGGCAAGTTCAGTCAGAGTGCTATAGTCTCAGACAGGTGGGTCCTTGATCTGAAAGGTACCAAGAGATACTAGCTATTCTAAACCCCTTATTTAAAAGTGAGGAGACTATTGGGCTCAAAGAGATACAGTGATTTACTCCAGGGCATAAATTAGATGAAAAGATGGAATTTGCACCCACTTCCACTAGTTGTTTTTTAAAAGACAAAGTTCAAAACTACAATTACACATTTGGATATTATAAAGTTTCTAGATCTTACTCTTAGTTTCTGTACTTAACCCCTGCTGGTTTGTGGGTCAGCCCCTGTCCACAGACCACACTTTTAGTGACACTGTTTAGATCACTCGTGCATAAGGGATCAAAAAGAGGAGGAGGAACCAGCAAGGAAGGTTGAAAAGTAAGCAGATAGGAGGAACAGTGAGCAACTATATCAGATGTTACTTATAGGGCAGGTAAGATAAGGACTAAGAATTATTTGTCATTGATTTAATGGCATAAATCAACCAGAGCTGTTCAGAGTGGTAGAGGGAAATGCCTGTTTAGAGCATGTTAAAAAGAATAGGTGAGGAACTGAAGAAATCAAATGTAGGCAACTATTTCAGGACTTCAGCTAAAAAGATAAAATAGAACAGTTGCTAAAATGGAAAAAGGCATTTGAAAGAACGACATATTTGTTATATTGATTGCAAGATCCAATAGAAAAAAAAAATATGTGTGGTGGGGCTGGGTATCTTTAAAGATATGAGATCTAGTGCACAAACGGAAGACTGGCCTTTGCCGAGAATGTGGACATATTTCCACAGTAAGGAGGAGACCCAATGTGTAAGCCAGAGGTCTAGATGGGTATCTGTGGAGGTAGGTGTTCATGGAACCTCTTCTCTGAATGCCGAGCATGAGTGAGAGAGGGGAGAGAAGGTTTCAGAGGCCTCAAGAGAAAACAGGATCATCTGGAAGGATGAGAGGGAAGGAGAGTGATTGTTGCAGCCCTAAGGCTCCACTTGAGGGCTCCGCATTATAAATGTAAAGGCAGGCGGCTGCTTTTCTCCAGCTGTGTGTAACAACAAGTGTGCAGCTGGTGTAGGTGGAATGTTAACTCCGAGTGTTAATTAGCAGGTCTGCTAATTAATCAGCTTATGTTTTTAGGAGTCCTGATTCAGTATTGTTTACCACTATAACTTCCACTAACAATGATATAAATTTCACAGAATCTGTTCTAAAGAATTTAATTTTCCCCTGGAGTATAATATTTTAAAAAATACATATGATTTCTTTAAAGTAACTTGATATCGGCTTCTTCCAGTTCGGTTCTTTAGTTTTATTTATTATTATCTCGTATAAGACTATCTTATGGAGATAGCCTCTGTCACATTCTTTAGTCCTCTCAATGAAAATGCTGTTCATTTTATTTCAATAGTATCATTAAGACTTGATTTACCAGTTATTAAGCCTGAAGCTGCGTTTTCTTCTTTAAAGATGCCAGAAGTAGAATCTGAGCCCCGTCACTTGCTTACTACAAGAAAGTGAATGCCAAAGCCATATCTTCAAGTATGCCATTCAGGTAGAAGAATAAAGCATTGTTGGAGGATATGTAATTGAATACAAATGAATTACTATGATCAGAACCCAGGCAGAACCTTTGTCCTCACTCACTAATTTGTGATCTTTTAATCTAAAAACACTTCCTTGTCTGAGTTCATTCTCAAAGTATTCAGTTACTGTAAATTATGTAAAGACTTGAATGTGTGTTTGAATCACTGTGAACTAGTTCCTTTTATCATGAATTTATAACAAAAGATCTGTGTACTGCTTGTTTTACAGCAGTACTTCCCAATATCTCTCGCAGAGTGGACAACATTTTAAAAGTGTACTACTAGTGTTCCAAAACTAAATTCTGACTTCTTGTCTCTAATGATCTTACTCTGTTCTCCCACGTGAAAGTCTCCCACGCTCTTTCACACGTTCTCATTTACGATCCCATTTCCTCCCAACTCCTCTTCCCTCATGCCCTCTCACACACTTTTCTTTTGTACATTATCCAGATCCAGGCTTGATGCCTTCTTACCTTGGTATGTTCTGACAGTGCTGGCTGCTGGCTGCAACTACTCTTGGTATCCGAAAGCAAGAGAACAGAGAGATCTTGCTGGAGGCTGGTGAGGAGGTGACTGAGCATGTGGGGAAACCACCCCCGCTCACGCTTCTCAAGGGAGAGCACTGAGCCGAGCAGGATTAGGAGGACATTTGCAGCTATCATGTGGACAGAGGAATGTCAAACCCTGACTACTCCATAGTCCTCGGTAGACGCAGAGCAAGTCCTGGACTGCCAGTTTGACTGTTCTGATTGTGCCCATTAGTCTGAAAGACTCATCAGGTGGAAATTACTGTTAATTTCTTTGTATTTAAAGAGCTATATACTGATTTTTAAAATAGGATATTGACAGATGAACGTATTTAACTATTCTTTGTCAAATACACATTGTTACTGAGTCATTGGAATACAAAATAACAGTGTTAAGGAAAAGTGAAGTCATCTTTAGCGAAAATTCTTAGCCGTTTTATCATTTGTCCCAGATAGTGGCTCCAGTTTAATTGCGTAGGGACAAGTGATCTTTCAGGCAAGAATCATAACAATGTGAGGTATTTGAAAATTATTTATTTTGTAGAGTATAATGTCCTATGATTAATGAACATTTTTCTTCTTCACTGGTTATTTAGAGACAGGAACACTTACTTTAACTGAATTTTGGTCTGTATAATCTTAGTCATCATATGTAAAAGCTTTAAGCCAAAAAAAGTAAGAAGCATGAAAGTACCACTAACATATTAATAATTTCACAAATTCCATGTGTGATGTATCTGAAAAATATCTGAAGAAACTTTTTCTGTGTTTTATTTCTAGAATTGAACATTAAAATAACATAATTTATTGTTTTCCTGATTTGACTTAAAATATAAGAAGTTCCCTATTAACCTGTGATCTAGCAAAGTAAAGCTTAATTTTCAGTCTAGAAATAAGCAAAGAAGGCGAAAGAATTGTTGAGAATTTTTAGAGAGTTGTTTAATAAAATCTCTTTACTCAACTCTTCATATTCACATCTTTCGCTCTCTCTACTCTTTTTGACATAATTTTTCCAAGTCTGTTTTCAATCACCAGCCTGTTAAAAGAATAAACTAAAGGAGAGTAAAAGGCCAGTGAGTTTGTTGACTCATCCGGAAATCAAGGGGAAAAAACAGAAAAACTGAAAGTAGACATACGAGTCCATCACCACTGAGCAGATGGACCAGTTGTGTACATGTAGGCCCAAGGCATTGGCAAATCACAGGTTATGTTCAGTGCACCCTTTGGTAAATCATTTATATGTTCGGTGTGCTCTATTTAAGATGTGGAAAAATACATCCTGCATTTCCCACAGGCTGACTCCTGACACCCATTCCCTTCTAAACAGACACTGTGTGTCTTCAGTGTGACACTTGTGTTGTTCTGAGAGAAGGAACTGGGTAAATACAGTTTAAAAATATTAATGCTGGAAGACTTAAAGATTTTTAGCGGTTTATTACTTTTGTTATATAGATATTCTATGTATTAAAATGAGGTAAACAAAAAATTTTGTTTTTATATTGTTTGAACCCTGGGAATAATATATACAGTGTTGCTTATTTCTAAAAAAGAATCAGTGTTTTTGATTGTTATCTTTGGATAGTCAAAAATTCACCACTATGTTAATTTGAAAGTCACTGCAGAGTTATGCTTGCATTTGTATTCTCCAGATACAGTTTATTTTGTAGTTTTCATATATTTCTCAACACTTTTATCTGGTGAAAATGATCTATTTTCTGAAGCATCCTACATTTATTTCCAGAAGTTAATAGGTTTCATTTTTAATTTTAGAGATTAAGAATCTATAGTCCTATTTGCAATAATTGGCTTGATTTCAATAGAAATTTATTTTACAGTATTCAAGCAAAGGAAGAATTTTAGTAATTTGATATCAAGACTGGTAGCTTCTCATGAGTGGACATTGTATCTTATTTTCATGTTTCTGTCCCTCACACAGAGCACAATGCCTGGCACTTAGAGGCTTTCAGCAAATACTTAGTGATTGAATGAAGCTAGTCTTCAAGAGGTTTATCTGATTTCCTGCTTGTCTTGTTATGCAATCATAATAGTTTACTTTTATTTTTTAGGCAATGAATGGCTTCTTCAAGGACAGAATCCTTTTGGGGAAATAGAGAACATTTCCAATCAACCAACAGTCCCACTGCAGATTCCTAGAGATTGCTTATCATCAGAAGTCATTATATCTGTCAGTGTGTTTCTCTATTACTGCAGCACAGACAGCAGTGCCTGTATGATGAAGGGAATTTTATTCAATCAGCCTTTACAGATAACTGATCAACAACGAGATTGCATAGCTCCAATAGAGCTGGGGTATGTATTTTAACCAGTGGGCTGGCAACCTAGCCCGTCAAGTCACCTGTCTCCTCCCTTCCCATTACTGCAGTTTATGAGAAGAAACTTTATGGCCACTTTTGGAGACTGAGAAATTGGTTACTAAGTTCCTGCAACTGGTACCAAAATAAAACTCTGCTCCTTATTTATTATAAACAGCTCCTTCATTCTGGCTGTGTACTGGCTAAGTCACTGATTATTGTTTGACCCATGAAGTTATAATCTATGCTGCTATTTGACACGAGACTTAAGTCAACACTACATTATAGCATATTATCATGAGATAATTTGTAGTGAGTACTGATAATGATACCAAATATTTCAACTTTTTCTACCTTTATTAATAGCAAGCAGCACATTTGTATGTGTAAATTTCACAATAACTTTAAACACAACTTAAGATCCATGATGTTTATAAGGACATCTTCCATTCAAGGCAAAAGGTCTGTTTTGATTAAGCAAAAAAAAAAAAGTCTTCTTATCACAGAAGCTTAACAAATACCTGAGTGGTAAATACATTTAAAGAGAATTTCAGTCTTTTTAATACAAGTTATTTGTTATTTTTAACATACCGTTGTTTAATGCCTTACAACTCTAGACAGAAAAAAAAGCAAAGCTCAAGTCTAGGACATGCAGACTCACTGGTTGAACATTTTTCTAAATAAAGTCTTAACAGATAATGAATGAGTCCCCAGAAATATTGTGACTTCAAGGAGAAAGGGGGGTCAGGAACATATTACTGTCTGTGATACTATTTAACCACAGATAATTAATTGTGGCAGCTGGCTATGATGTAAATGGGTATGTGTGTTTTGGAAATTTACATTTCACTTGTAAGCATTAAATGGAGATTTATTGGGTTTTGGTTTTTTGTTATCGTGTTGAGAATTTAAATTATCATTTATTTTGATGTTTTTAGAAATCACTTTTAAGCCATCAAAGTAAAAATTACATACATTATGCTATTAATAGGTAAAGTATGTCCTAATATATTATAATCTTAAAATAGTAAGGCTGAAACATACAATGACTGATGAAAATGTTTAGGAGCTGTTTTTCTAACCATAAAAGAAATAGTTTTTGTTGCCTTTTCTTGTTTTCACTAAAACTAATTCAACATGTTTGTTATTTAATAAGCTTACACGATTTTAAAAACATGAGGTGAACCGTATTTATCTGATAAAATATTTATAGAAAATATGGCATAATACTTCAAATACAGTGTTAAATTTGAAGTATAATCTTTTATGCACCATCATCTACCTATTTATCTATTTTTAAAGTTAGGTTTTCAACATACTCATTCACTTGTGTCCAGGTCAGCTGAATTGCTGAAGGAAATATACAGATCATGACTTTGCTTTAATTTGTATGTTGCTAAACTTATGTTTAAAGTATTAATGTAAAATTGAAAGGATAATTACCTCATAAACCTTTTCTCTCCACAAGAAATATGTCATTCTGCAAAAAAGGATATATAACATTAATATTCTCTTCTATGGAAAATAGGCCATACTCATTTTTTAAATCTCCTTTCATTTATTATACTACTAATTTCCAATTGCACAGGATGAGAATATTTTGGCTGGATCTTTTCCTGCTTAAGGACATAAACAGTTTTAGTAAATGGACAGCTTTAACTTGCTAATTTAAGAATAATAATTCTGTAATACAACACACATATATGTATTATATATTTTCACATACCTCATAGATACTTATATTTTTCTTTAATGTATCTTTTGAATAGAGAGAGTTTTAGGTTAGTATGAAGTTTATACTTTTCTTGACTTTCAAAGTAATTTTATCAACCATTCTTATTACCTAGCCACCAGTCTGTATCGTTTTTTACATATAAAATATTATTTATATGGATTACAGTGTGATTCCTTTTCACTCATACTAAAGCAATGTAAATAGATTTCTAGAATTTATGACTAATATAAACCTTTCACATAAGAGGAAGCACAAAATGTGTATTTTTAAAATTCTTTGTCCTTGTCTGCCTTCTGTTTTCTATCAGGACTTATATATATATTATTTTAACTTTCACTTTTCATGCATAAATTATTCTCTCCATTGTTTAAAAAGAGCAGATTTAGTGTCACTTTAATCAAAATGCCAGTAATGTGATATTACATACACTTTGACATATGCTTGGAATCTTTGCCCTAAATTATTCTGCTAGTTTGTTAGTATATTTTTCTGCCACTCTTTGTGATATCATTTCACGAATGGTAGAATTTTTTCCTCTGAAATTATACTCAGGATTGATATGATCCCTGAACAGAATCTCATCTTGAATATTCTTTCTCAAGCAAATATTTAACTTATTTCATAAGGGGAAAACTTGGCGGTTTAATCAACCATAAGTGTACCTTTGGCAGAGTTCACTGACTAAAAAACAAATTTTTCCTTCACCATTCTAATTATATTTACTTAAAGTATCAGGCCTGCAGAAAGCTATAAATCTTAACACATCCCCTCCAAAATTTGTGTGGACAAGTGTATAGGTATTTGCATATATATACACAGATAGAAAAATCAACTCAAATCTCTCTCATAAGTCCTCTTATGGATAATATGCTTTTGAGTTAATACTCTTTGCTTGTTTTTCCATAGTTGGAAAATTTGGAAGGCTACTGAAAATACAGATCTCTGTAATATAATAATTTCTGCCTGCATAAAATTTTACTATTGATTTATATCTTCCAACTAAGGACTACAGAAAAGCCATTATATTTCACATCATGTTTAAAAACAATCAGCAAAAACTAAATTCCATAGTTCACAATTGCATAAAAATACCTACAGAGGGACTATGTCAATAGTGCTTCTCCAGAATGATGGAATTTTGGGTACTTTTATTTTAATCTATGTTTTGGTTTTTTTTTTTCCTGTGAGCAATATGTTATTTTCAAATAAGCCCCTTCTCCCCCCAAAAAATAACTAGAAATGCTTAAATGCTTTGTAAAGATTTCAAATGAACTGGATAGTAAGAACTACTATATAATATCTCTTCTAAAATTATTTTATTACCAAAGATCAGACCATAATTTGGAGCCTTTTGATCTGTTAGATGTCTTATGTATGCGATCTGGTGAAGATAAAAATAATTAATGGCTTTTTCTTTGGGTGTTTCTATTGTGTGGGGTAGCAGAGTAGTTGAGGGTGGGCTTCATAATCCATTTGAATTCTAACCCTGTGAAATGGGGCTGCTAGACTTACCTCAGGAGTTGCTCTGAGGATTTAATAAAATGTGTTTGTAAAGCACTTATAAGCAACTAATTAATGATACTACTAGCTATTGGCTTAATAATACTGGTAATAATAATTGATGACCATAAACATGTGGCTTGACATTTTCTTTGCAACCACAGTTTCTAAGGAAAAATACTATTCTCCCAGCTAATTGAGAGACATTGTTTCATAATAAAGTATAATACTATTTTATAAATTATCGTTATCAGAAGCATACCTCCAGTTTTATTTATTTTTTAATGTAAAGACCTTCTGGACCTATGATTAGTAAACTTCCTTTGAGGGGATCCAGACAAACTCACCCTGAGCCACATTCCTGTAACTTTTCTACTGGCGCTTTACAAATTCTGCCAAGTGCCTTTCGTGCATTTTGCCCCAGTGGAACTTCATTGTAACCTGTGAATCACACAAGTAGACTTTTGTCCATATTATAGATGAGGAAACAGCTTTAGAATGTTGGTGACTTATCTCAAGATCAGAAAGTTCCCAGAATAATGCCTGGTGCCAGAGCCGTGCCTGGAAGGAGCGGTGGCCTACTCAGTTGTGTTAATTAAAGGTAAATACTGACTGCCAGATCTTTTTTTTTGAACACAGGTCTCCTAATTCTTAGCTCTGCTCCTAGAGGTAGAGTGAAAACAAACTATGGAATTGAAAGTCTATATTTACTTTTATGACTGCTTTCTCCATCCTTGGCAGTATTTAAATAAAATAATAACTAAATTTACTGATTGCTCGCTCTGTATTTGCACTTTTCTAAGTGCTTTGTATGTATTAACTCATTTAATCCTCACAACAACCTTATGGGGAAAGTAATATTTTTCCCTATTTCCCTGATGAGGAAACTGAGACAAAGTTATAAGCAGTTACACCAGCGCGATCAAGGACCCATGTTCAGGAAGTAGCTGAACCTGGATGAGTCTGCTCCGCACTTTCGCTCTCACCTCTCAGGGTAGTTTTTTAAGACAAATCTTTCATAGTTATAGGTTGTCACTAATCGCGCCAACAAACCCCAAAAGCCCTAGTGATGATTGCTTTAGAAATTTAAAATAAATCCCTTACTTAATATTAGCTTTGGGACTTTTCATTAGACACACTTATCCATCAGCACTTGCAACAGTCTGCATAATTGTTGTTGCCCAAAAGATTTTATCTCCCCTTTTTTCTTAAATTCAGGTATTATCCACAGGTTTTTTTTGGTTTTTGACAGATGGATACATTAAAGAATTCTTTAAAGAATTCAGTTAGTTCCAACAATGATGTTTTAATTGGTCTTCAAAAGGTGATTCTAAAACCTTGTCATAAATTGTAACTGAATTCTTAGCACAAGATTGTCGCAAACCTTAAGAAGCTTGTTCATATTTAAGAAAGTTTTGTTTTAATAACTAAGTGAGCTCCAGAAACATGATATTTGGCCAATTTGTTCATATGTTTACAAGTCCTCAGCTTAGTTGCTTCATAAATAACACTGGTGGGTACCCACCCCCAAATATATGCAATTCTAGTATAGTAGAGTCTTCACCAGCTTTAACTGTTATTCAAAAGAATGAAGTAAAAGGTTTATCCAGGTGCAGGAATGTAAGCATCTTTTCATTGTTAAATAGTTTGCTGATTTAAGTAATAGTAGAATTTGTTAATTCTGTTATAAAATCCCATTCTAAAATCCATAAGGAAATGTACATCAGCTGAAAACAGTAATGGTGCCATGCTTTAGAAGCAGAATTTACTGTTAATCACCAAGATTTCCTCCTTTTCTTCCTCCTGTGGGACATAGTGCTTTTTAAGAACAATTCACACCAACAATAAGTGACTGGTCCTAAATAAGTAAAAATTGGCTAAGACAAAGAATGACGGTGAAGTTAGAGCTTCACTAATCTGTCCTGTGCACTCCGTGGCCAGCCAGCCTTTCACCTGTAGTCTGCAGGTTAGTTGGCTGCTTCCGGTTCCCGGCAGCTGGTCTGACTGCAGAGGGCCAAGTGACTCAGCTCTGTGGCTGCTCCCTTTCTGTTTCTCGGTGTGCGGGTTTGGTTTAATCATTTTCAGAGGTTAGAGTTTGGAAGTGAAAACCCTAGATACTTGTTGTGGAATGTTTGCCTACTTACAGTTGTTTGGTGTGTCCCTCCTCTTTGCGGGCATGTCAACTCTCAAGTGAACCAAAGGACATTTTGTTCTCTCGAAAGCTCCACCACCAAAAGGAAAGAATCACAAGTATTTCTAAACTAACTTTCCTGCCTATATCAGCAACACAAGCACAGAGAGAGCACCAACCCACCAGAGTCAAAAGCATTTGTGTAGCCAGCAGGCATGGTCTGGTGAGCCCCTTGCTGGTTAAGCAGTGACTCGCGGACCTGGTGGTCTTCAGTAAGGCACAGTTCAGCAAAGATGTCAGATTCTTTTAATTTTGAAAACATGAAGCTGTGAGTTACATGGACAAGCAGAATTTACCTTTTGCTTTTCGTATACTTGTTTACCTTTCCAATAAAGTAGAATTAAACTTCATAATGTTGATGATTAAAAGGAGGGAAAAATCAACCCTCAGATTTAAACATGCCCTGTTTAAACAGTATTTTTATGACTTTTTTTAATCTGGTATATTATGCTGATGAGAAATATAGGTTAAGGTATATAGGGTAAAACATTAGTTGATAAATTATGATAATGAAAGGTAAAAATAGACACCTTCCTATCTAGAAATTGAGGAAGGACTTTGCCGTGTAACTGTCCTCTGTTTATAGAATATGTAGTCACTACTCTTCGTCCCAGCAGAAATACGTTCATTCTGTCAGCATGTACAGGATGGGCTACCTGTTTTGTTCATTACATTATTCAAAACACAAGTTTTTGTTTGTATAGAGTTGAAATGTATTGTTCATGAATGTCTGTGATACTCATCAAATTTACCTGTAAAAAATATACCAACACAATGGGCCTCCCTGGTGGTGCAAGGGGTTAAGCACCGCACTATGAAGCAATCCTCAGCCTCTGCGGCACGAGTTCAATGCCCGGTGGGCCAGGGAGTAACCCACATGGCGCAGCAGACCTCTCCTGACTCGCCCTTTGCTCCCCTCAGCAATGTACTTCAGTCAATCTGCCTGTTCTGTTCCCCACTCTGTCTCTGGTGAATCCTCTCACACACACACACCCCCGCCCGTCCCCCCCCCCCCCGCATCTCTGGCCTGTTTTCCCACTCTTGTATAGCATAAATAAACAAATCTTAAAAAAAAAAAAATATATATATATATATATATATATATATATATATATATACACCAACACTTCTTCTCCACACCTTAGGCTTCCCTTGCTTTGAAAACAATAGTTTCTGTAGAAGTTTCAGGAAACTATGGAACACAAATTACAGCTACAGCAGGGTAATTTTGTTGTAATTTTTTTTCCTGAAATTCCTAATATTTCCGTTTCAAAGGAAGAGAATAGTACCCTGTGTGACTTTAAATTAATTTCTCTATATTTTGAAGTTTACCCGCCTAATTATATTTACATAGGTTACAATATTTTTTTTAAGTTTGAAAATCTCAGTGTTAGGGTGCACTGAGAGCTGATCTAGAAATTTCTTTAGTAACTGTCGTGGACTATGGACAAATCTAAGTTTGCTGTGTGATATATATACACATATATATGTGCTGTGTGATACATATATTCATAAATTGTCAAGTTTTAGAAATTCACACTTTCCCCATCTTTTGTGTGGTTTTATTTGTGAGAATAGAATTAGTCTGCTCTGCTGAATTCAGTATCTGTCATTCCAAAGTTTTGATCATATTTATTTTTTTCTCCAAAGATAAATATAATGATCTGATTTACAAGTTCGTGTATTGATACTTCTAGACATGGTCTAGGTCTAAAAGGATTTACTTGGCCTGCATTTTTTAAGTGTTTCGTGTAGACAGATTAATATATTTTTATACAACACTATTTCTACACTTATTTCAAGACTTATTTTCAATGACTTTTTCAAGTGTATATGTTAACTGAAAATTGGGATGAGTGTGCGAGGCCTTCATTACCAACTCAGAAGTGTAACACATGTGATTATAGAAAGCAAGAGCCTGTTTATACTGTACACTGAAACCTAATGCCTCTTTTCTAAAGCTTTGTACATTTTTTTCACAAAATAGATTAAATATTTTCTCTCTAAAACGCTGTTTCTGTTTAAATATGCTTTTTATTTTAAGTATATCATGAGATAATTTTACTACTTAGAAGCCTGCTTGTAAGTCATGGTTTATTGTTTGAATTTTGGGGGAAATGAAAAGTATAATTCTGACTTAAATACATTTGGGAAAAAAAGTGATGTATTCGGTAGATGATACTGGGAACATTTGGGGGGGGGGGAATAGGGCTATACTTGATACTATACACAGAATTTGAAAGGAACTGCTGATGACTTAAAAAAAAAAAATGCAGAAGTGAAGAGTAAGCTTTAGTGTTGGGGGTGGGGCTAGCATTCCTGAGAATGCGCGAACATGCAAAAGCAATAATGGGAAAGTTACATAATAATTTTAAGCATCTATGTAATAAACAGGAACAGAAATATAAAGGTAGAAAATAAACTAAAACAAAATGTAAAACATAAAATGGATATAGATTTAGTCTGTTTCGTATATAAAGAGCCCCCATAAACTAATAACAGAGGGCTATCCCAGCTTGCGAATAGGCGAATGAGCACACAATTCTCACACTCTGCTCCAAGCCCACTGACAAGCAGATTACACAAAGTCCCTGCTCTAGCGCCCGCATTGTAGTTGGGGGACAGACGAGAACATCAGGAAGTAAACACGAAGGGTCACTGCTCTAACAAGGTAAATAGAGTCACGGCCTCGCTGTTGAGTGACAAGTGAAGCCAGCACACATCCAGGGAGGCAGAGGCCACTCTTTCAAGTGCTTATACACATCACACTCCATGTTTGCAAGCCCCTGGGACCACATTCTCCCCAACACGGGTGATCAAACTTGAGGTTTTATGATTCGAGTGCTGGATGGGACCTCACTGTGGCACTGATTTCCATCACCATGACCGGCAGTGAGGGGGAGCCTTTACCGGCCACATGTGTTTCCCTTTCTGTTCATGTCTCCTGCCCGTTTTTCTGGTGTCTCTGTGCTTACTGGCTTGTCACCACTCTTTTATCTCTTCCTGATAGTGTGTGATTGCAAGCATTTTCCCCAAGTGATGTAACTTAACCTGTGTTTTTTGTGTGTTAGGCAGTGGGCTCAGTTTTAATCGAAACTGATGAAGAACCAAGGATTATAGATAATACAAGTTTGTACACCTGCATTCCATTAAAATATGAAAGGCAATGAGATGGGCACAAACTTGCTCCTCTGAACGGGGGCTAGGAGGATGGGACAATGTCCTGGCAGACAGCAGCCAAACCCAGAATCACATGCATTCTAGTTTATCTCAGGTCAGCTAACGCCGTTGAAGAATTTTGAATAAAAGAGTGATCAGGTTTATATTCTTCAAGGATCACTGACTGCTCTGTAAAATGTGCTATGAGTCATAGGGCAAGGAAGCAACCTAAATGTCACTCAATAGGTGATCATTGTTAATCATCCAGGCACAGAATGGAATATGATGCAGCCATTAAAAAGAATTTAAGGCAGCTACTTATATTCAGATTAAGCAAAAAATACCAGATGCAGAATTAATAAATATCCTGTATTTTTTTAAAACTAGCTCTATTCATATGCCTTTTGATTCTTCATACACACGTAAATACACACAGCCAGTTCTTGCTTTGCACGTTAGAGCAAGACCATAAAAATAACCATGCAAGCCGAAACTGTGACACAATCCTAGTGATCTGGAAACTGCAGAGCAATCTTAATAATCAATGAGGAACCACATGTTCTATGAACTTTAAAAATGTTTGCTAGAATATTAAAAATCCTCAGTGTCAATTTTAAGTGTGCAGGGAAATGAAAAAAAATAGAGTTTATATTTACCTAGCTCACTAACTTAAACATTACAAGTACTAAGAATTGGTTTCTATTTCTTTGTAAGAAAACTTACCAAGGGTAATTAAACAGCACTTGCTTTCTCCTCATCACAGAACTGATGAAACAAAACAAGTGCCTTTGCTCTGCCCAGGCAAATTGTCATGCTCCTTTCTAAGTTTAGAACAGCTACCATTTCTATCTCTGCTTTCAACATTGTATCTATACTTCTAAGAGTTTCTTTTATGTGAGGTTTTTCCACTAGCATCACCTACTCTGGGACATCATCATCCTTTTCATCACAGCCCTGTCCTCATTTCTGGCCATAAGCTCACCGGCACTTAGTTTCTCATATCTAGAGTGTCTCTGAAACATCGACCACCAGCATCCCCGTGCGACTATTTCCTATATGACCCCCGGTACATTCAATTTGCATTTCACTTCCAGTGTTTTCCCTTTTCATTTCTTTACTGAACTTTTTTTCTTTCTTGGCCAATTCCTTCTTCTGAGTGTCCCCTTTCATACAATGCCCCATCACTAGGAAACAAGAAGGTGCCCCGACACCCTTTGCTGTCTGGGCATGAACTGGATGACATACCCAGACACCAGCCACCCATGACTTGGACCAAGAGGCATTTTTGTCACTGATCCTGGGACATTCTGCTATTACAGAGTAATCTGTGCACTGACGAGCGCACAGTTAAGTTTACATAAGCAACTGCAGCTAAGATATTGTGGAACTGAAATGGGAACCATGTTTTCAGAAACTGGTATTATTTGATCATTGTAACTGACATTGTTCACCTCAGAATTGTTCAAAGCAGCAACTGAGTGCATAACATATACATACATGCCATATAGATCTATAGAGAGAGCAAAATAGATAAAATGGAAACATGCAACAAAACGGAGAAATTGTATTATTTAAATTTTTACAAATTAGTACTGTAATTTTTGAGAGCAAAGTAAAATAGGCAAAAGACTCTTTCGTTTCCCACAATCTCATCTCGCATTTAGTATGATCCTGGTGAAGGGAAGGAGCAGGGTATGAAGAGCACCACAGGGCAGAGTGAATAAGCAAATGCTGTGGGGGTGGAAGCACCTAGCTGGTTATGTGACAAGAACCCACACAGTTAGCGTGACTGTCACACGGCACAGCGCCGTGTCCAAAACACCAGCTTTGCGCCAGCCAACCTGACAACACACTTGGCTACAGAACAGCCTGGAGCAAGTCACTTCACTTCCATTGACTCAGTTTCCTCATCTGTTCGACTGGCTATTAATACCTCATGGAATTATTTAGTGACAATATTAGAAAAGCACTTGACACACTGACTAACAGCCAGGAAATGTGCCAGTCACTGAGTCATTCACACCACAGAGAGCGCTGCGTTCTGGCCATGAAGGTGTTGGAGCGACACTGTGAGATGGCCGAGCCACGAATTTGTCACAGCAAGTGGGAAGGGAACCAGACCAAGCCCACTAGCATTCTGCAATCTGGAATATGCACAGACAAACCAGCTTAGTTTTACCTCAAAATAATTTCCATGTGGGGCCTCCCCAGTGGCGCAGCGGGTTGAGCGCTGCACTGTGGAGCTGTCTGCAGCCTCTGCAGCGCGGGTACGATTCCTGGCCGGCCAGGGAGATTCCCACCTGGCGTGGCAGACCTCTCCTGTCTCGCCCGCTGCTCCCCAGTCGTCTGCCTGTTCTGCTCCCTGCTCTGTGTCTGGTGAATCTTCTCACCTTCCCGAGCCTCTGGCCTATACCCCGGTTCTTGTATAAAAATAAATAAATCTTTTTAAAAAAATAATTTCCATGTGTATCTTAGACCTTGATGATTTTTTTTAGAATGAAACACATACCACTGACCAACTCAAATATTATACATTTGAAGATACACAGATTTTTAATAGAACTCTGAAAATTATCCTTCGCACTGGTAGCTAAGCAAACACAACCTTGTTCATATAATTTTGTGTCATTTCAATCTCGATTGTGACATACACATAGAATTGACTATATTTGTGTATTATTTGACCAGTTGCAGTTTCTAGTTTCCCCTTTTGACCCAAAAGTCAAATTTGTGCCAATCTTAGAATGCAACTTAAATAAGTAGTAACTTCAATCAAACTTGGCAGATCACAATGTAAATCCATGTACAGTGAGTTTTTATTTCATCGCTAAGAGAAGTTGACAGTG